ACCTAACGATATTATTCTTTCGGATGAAATAAACACAGAAATGCAGTAACTACGCATAAACAAAACCACGTGTTCCGAGATCGATTGTAATATCATTTTTCTCGCCGACATATCGCATTCAAACAAGGCTTATCCGTTATTATATAACTAGATCTAATATGTAATTATCTATAGAAATACTTGATAAAAATCTTATTGAAACATAAGTGTAAAACATCTTATTTATGGGGCTAAATGATATCCATTGGACTCACCTTACTGTAAATCGTCTGCTCGTCGTCACTTCTCGGTTTTTAGCAACAGGTGGCAATCGGACGGCGCCTGCGCAGTCCCCAGTTCAATATGTTTGCCGGTGTATCGCGACCATATATGGCATTTATTTACCACGCATGCGCAAATGAGCCTCTGCTTGTCTGATAAGTGAGCTGCGATTGGTTGGTGTGACCGCTAATCGACCATTCACAGCTCGCCTTGTTTCTGAGGCGCGAAACCTCACAATTTTTTAACAGAAAAGGAAGTACTTGAATCTTGCCATTTTCACGGGACTTTTGAAAACGGACAGACAGCACTGTCCGAAAATCTTGTGAGGTTGGAATTAAAAAAACGAATTTTGTGAGGCTTTTAGGGGGAGATATGACTTTTTAACTATGGGCACTTGTGGGAAAACCTCACAAGTCGGTTACAACTGCACAAGTACCTCCTGTACCAGTCAGAAACCTTACAAATACCCTCTGGTAAGGCCAGACAAACAGACAGATAGACAGACAGACAGACAGACAAACAAACAAACAAACAAAGAGACAGACAGACAGATAAACAAGCAAACAGACAGAGAGACAGACAAATAAACAAACAAACAGACAGACAAATAAACAAACAATCAGACAAACAAACAAACAAACTCCTCACGTCGCTCCTTACGTCGATGGTAACTGTCAGCCTGACTTCATACTACTCGCGTATCTAGACTACAACAGTGAACTAAAATTACAAATGAAAGGAAAAACTGATAACAAATGAAAGTCATAGGATAGACATAAATATGAACATTTCAACTTAATACAAATAATATAATTAAGGATTTACATAGAAACAAATACATCAAAAACTACAAAGTACGTACATAATAATGCTGCCTCCACGTATTCGCTTATTATTACGGGCTGTTCGGAACTGCGTGAAATTTAGCTAAAAATCAAATTTAGAAGCAGGCTAGAAATACTGACACTGTTGTAAACTTTTAGGTTGGGTAACGAGTGAATACTAACTTCCAGATTCATGGTCAAAATATTTACCTGTAAGTCGCTATGAGGAAATCAAACGCTGACAACAATAACCAGTTTCAATCATTTAATGTTCACTAGTCGCATGCTCAGGTACATTAATTCTGACGATACATGGGGAATCCCTCTTTAGTATCAAACCAAGACAATGGCTTCGTTAACTTTCATATCAATGGCTTCTTAATCAGAATAGTCAACAAGCCCACTCTTTCAATCTACATGAAATATTGTAGAATGGCTTTAAAAACTTGTAACAGCTGAAATGATTGAGTTAGGTTGGTCATTCTGAGCCATGTCCATGATGTCTTCTGGAAGAGGCTCATGTGTTGTGCTTTCTGAAGACTGACATTGGTCTGTGGTCATATGATCTGCAAATTCACCCACTGCGGCTTACGAATCATGTATTTCAGTCTTATAGATAAGTGTCCCTCTTCCTCTAGGTCAGTGACCACAAAGGCAACCATATCTATAGCCCTCTGTCGTAGAAGTTGATAGATACGGTAAATACTTGAAAACTTTGTTACTTAAAAATTAATTAATATTTTAAATTGTGTAAATCCAATAAATTTTTCATAATTACGTTTCTCCAACTCCTGGGTATGACGAAATTTTCAAAAAATCTGACCTTCGGGCTCTTATCCTTATCATCTTTTATCCTTGTTTCTCATACATTGTCGGATATTTATCACTACTTCCAAAGTCACATTCTGGTGGTAAATAATAATCTATTTCCTTTTAATAACTTGCCCAAAAAGTGAGTTGAGAATTGTTTTTTCTGTTGGGAACATACCCTCAGATAGAGGATGGGGGTCAAGATGAGCCTAGCTCTTAAATAGCAATGTTTGTTGCATGCAGGGTTTTCCCGCAGCACAATAAATATGGCAACAATGTGATTGCCATTTTTAAAGGTTAAGTAATATGAGGCTGTACATTTAATAATCATACACATCCACATTTAATTGGGCTTTAACAAACCAGTATTATTCTTCCTGAAATCTTTTTAAATTCTTCCTGACTGTAGCACCTAGCCCTTGCTAGCAGAGTTTTGGAGCTTCTGTGAAAATTTCAAAACAGTCAATTATACATATCAATCTTGGAAATTTCCCTTTGAACACTGGCGGAACCGTAGTAAAAGTATTCTCTCTGTTTTGAGGTTGTATCATCCAATCCAAGTTTGCATTTAGAACATCAATGGTTTTCCAGAAATGGTCAGTGATTGTCCATTTTGGCAAACATGTCAAATGCACCATTAAATCAAAAGAGGTATTGTACCTAAACCTCACCAATGTTAAAAACACTTCTTTCAAGGGCAGTCTAGACTGCAGGTATTCTGATTTACAAAAATGAGCCCAAGAAATACCAGTCATCATGATGCACAGTTCATCATTATCTTCAACAGAGGAGGATGATAAAAGGCTGGACTGAACATTCTTTTCAGCTCTCTGCAAGGCTTCATCCCTCTTTTACTTCAATGCCACCATATCCTTGATAAACATAACATCTGGTGGGTTTAGTGGATGGGAAAGTGGAGTTGTGCCCACTAGAATGAAAATGAGGACAGCTTAATTGTCATAATGAAAACAAAGAACAGCCGAACCATGAGAAGCATTTAATTCAATTAAACTATAAAATATTCAGGATATAAGAATACAATGAATGGAAGTTAAATGGCCAGTTTTGGCATTTCATTTCATATTCCATTCCTACCTACGAATATGTTGAATAAATATGTGTCAAAGAAATACACAGAGACTATTGCACCTACCAGTAAACATCATCATACCTTACTCCTGGTAGACTTTCTTGTACCTGTTACCTGCACTATCTGAATGTCCAATATCCAAAATTTTCAAGTTTTCACCGTACAACTTTTTTCAAATTTTCTTCTTCAAACTCCAGTAGATCAATGTCTCCTTTTGTCATCATGCAACCCGGGAGCAACTTTCTTCATGTCAAATGCTAGTTTTGGTTTCCCTTGTGCAAGTAGCCACCTGCAATGCCAATTCTTGCAATATCCTGGTAAGATCTGGTCTGGCCAGAAAATGCCTCTAGGCTGGTAGCTGCATAGCCAATTTGTGGCAGGTATTGCCAATGTCAGGTCAGATTGTGCTGGGTCCAGAACTGCCGCCTCTGCCTTTCCCTTAAAATTGCTCCACTTGCTCTCCAGCCTGACCTAAGCTTATGATGGGTGCAATTTCAAGTTTTGTCAGGAATAGTCTCCAAAAGGTCTCTGTTTTGTCCGAATATCCCCTTTGGCACTTCAAATTAAACAGCTGGCAAGTTTCCATAAAAATGAGCTCCAACATGCTGTTTTTTATATCTTCTGTCATATTGAAAGTATTTTGAGGTCGATACTAAAGCTTGCCAGATTGGTAGTGCTAGGTATCACTGTGGTGGTTAATTTGTGGGTTGAGTTTGTTGAAGGCCTCAGTGCCAAAAGATCTGCAGGTAGTGTTAGTAAACAGCAATTCCCATTTATGAGGCTTGTTACTGTACTCTTTGTACTGTATGGACAGGCTAAGAGTTGAAAGCAAAGATGTAATTAGTAGTTAGACTAGAATAGAAGAATTAAGTCATGAGGATTTCAAGTTTTGCTTTCATTTATTTGATAGGTATAAGGGGGGGCGGTTTATTAATTTATTATTGAAATAAACTTTCAATTGCAAAGACAAATATTTTGGACCATAAATTATTATCATTGTTAGCTTTTTAATTTTGAGAAATTGTACAGATATAAGAATGAGTACCTGTGAGTGCAGAAATGAATTGAATTAATAATATTATTAGCACACTTATGTACTTAGAGTCATTTAATGCACAGAAAAGTAGTCATGTACCGGTAGGTTCAGATAGTTGAAATAATTATTTTGCGACGAGTTTGTGTCTGGTGTTTTAAATGCAGGTAATATTTATGTTTTTCTCATGTATTGATGATTCTACTGAAGTTTAAATGAGGGAACAATTATATACTGTTCATGATTTAATGAAAATAAATACTAAAGCAAACAAAATGATTGAATTATCTTGTGAAATTTTAATGTCATCTTTAAGATCATGTCATTTCATAGTCATTGAAAATGAAAAAAATAAAAAAAAAATCGATATAAAAATGTGTACTTATAAGAGCAAGTAGGAATTCTATGTTCACTTCAAGTCTTTATAAACCTCCAGAAGAAAGCTTTCTGGGTGGCACATATACTGTGTCATTTTATCAATATTCTTGTGCAAAATTTTTTGGCTCAACAAGTACATGTAATGTAATTCACAACTAACACATTCTGTTTTAATGCTGATGTTGCAAAATGAACACATTTATATCAGAAGACAAGAATGTTTAATACTGAAAAACTTAAAAAAAATTTTTTTTAATAACAGCATATAGCATCTGCAAATGTTTTCTTGATTTTGCTTCATTATTCAAGATAAAAGTATGATATCATTTTTTAAATGTTCACATTTGCAGGAATATTGTACGAAAGAAAAAGCTATCAATCAAACTCACAGATTCAATTATGAGCTTTTAGCTTGTCATTGAGCTGTTTACTTTGTTGATAAATTCAACATTTGTGATTTTGTAGATTAAAATACATGTACTACAAAAGAAAGGACTGCCTGATAATAAAAATCATTAAGGTTTTTAAATGTTTGGACAGGTAACTGTATACACAATCAGTTCTGGTTAAAACTGATAACTTTAAAAAAAAAACTGAAATATACGAGGGCACTACGCTGATATTTCAGTTGAATCTATGAGTAATTACAGATTGGATGGAACACTTGTGCTCTTTCACAAGTACGTGATTGGGGCTGTCTTACCCAAATAGTATGCATGGTCCTTTTATTGTTTACCTGGTGCTGAATAACAGATTGTTCCTACAGTTTACTTAGGGCAGGGGCCCCTAAATGGATATCCTGATGTTCTATTGCTGCAGCCAAAGCAAACTTAAACGATGGGACACACACACAACATTGAACCATAAAATTTCAAAATGGAGTAAGTGGTTGTGTTATCTAATGGTGTGGAAAATTTGGACCAAATCTTGTAAGTATTCTTTGTATATTATTCATGACAGGGTATTAACAGGTGTGAAAAATCAAAACTGAGGAATTTGGAGACTTAGTCTTGTTCAGTACTGTGAAAATGTTGGAATAATTTATTGGAAGATGGAACATTTACACATATAACAGCCTGCAGTGTGTTATTCATGTAAGTAGAATTGATCGTTTTGGTTGGAAGAAATGATTAAATTGAAAAAAAAAGAAAAAAAAGGCAGTTGATAATTTCATTTAGAAAATTGAATTTTGCTATAAAATGTTGGTGTATAAAATTTTGCTTGATAATTCTTTTGAAAATTATGGGTAACTTGTGCAAAAATAGTTTGTTACAGAGCAGCTGATAAATTTATTTATAGTTAGAGGAATATTATTTTCATATTTTATTTTTGTTATTAATTGAGAAAAAAAAGTGAAATGAGCACAAATCATGTTTAAATAAAGCTTGTTTGCTTCTCGAGTGAAATTTTTCAAAATGATATTGGTAAAACACTGACAAATTTCTGAGACCATTGGAGATCTTTGTTGGCTTTACTTCACTTATTTTAGAATTTCAAGTAAAGAAAGCAGCATTGATCAAGCTCACTTTTTGTTTTGGTCAAATAATGAATCATTTTTACACCAGCTTAAATTGTGTTAAATAATCTCGGTTACTTTTTAAGGTTAGATAAAAATTTCAAAAACTGAAAAACATTAATATTAGCTCTAGCCAAGTGAGAAAGTTACATGATTCACTCAATAGATATGATTGATGTCCTTATATACATGGTGACACAGATATACTTCAGTACCTGTACAGCATTCATTATTTGGATTTTTGCATAATGACAGACATCGGTATACAACAGTCCTTGATTTTGAAATTCCGTCCTTGAATTTTGTGACTGTAAGGTAAGTCTGAAAATAGTTGAAAGCCCTCTGCTTTCTGTAAGTTAGATCCTTAGTAAAAGTGCTTATGTACATGTAGGGAGGTTTAATTTTGATTTGTCATTTAAACTTCACTTATTTCCAAAAGTACTAAAGGAGCTTCTCTTTATGATGATTTCCCCTTTCCTATTGCAAATTTGTGACAAAAATTTTATTTATCAGTTAAAAGAGATATTTTGAATTATCAGAGGTGAAAAAGACGCCATAGTGGCAGTGAGCAACGTCAACAGGTAAGAGAAAAAAGATGTTCAGGTTCGTTGCTAACCAAACCTTAAAGGAAATCTACCAGCAAACAACTGGATCATATAACGTGTGTTTTGTGGAAAACCACTGTCATGCTAATGTCATTCTGTATTATTCAATTTTTTGAATGAAACCTATAGAAATTTGAAGATAATCACATGCAGCTCTATAGCACCAGTATTTTGTGAGGTGATGTTGACAACCTCACTGTTAGAGGAGCACTACAGATTATCAGATCAGCCTAATTAATGATGGCATTTCAGGCAAATTGATGGCAATGTAGCAGGGACAGCCAAGTAGAAGATAAACAATGGGAAGTCAATATAGGAAGGTTTACTCAGTGGCACTGGCGTGTACCCTATGGCTGATTAATGGAGGTCTCATACACGCATTCTGGACTGCAGACTCTTACTGGAATGGACGCTATGGAGCTGAAGGGATTTCTTATACCTCAGGTGGGTTATGAGCATTATCTCAAAGAATAAAGGGGTAAACAACATGGGCCTATGTGTGACAACACAACATTGCATGATCTTGCAGTAAAATAATACAAAAGGCAGAATAAATTCATTCAAAGGTTGAAATATATTATTTCTCATTGTAGGTAAAATTGAAGGGAAAATAAAGATTAAAATAAATGTAGAATAATATAAAAAGGATGATAATGTGTTGCATGTTTAATTTGGGACAATGCACCAAAGGTATTTTTGATGAAAATTAAACATTTGTGGAGAAAAATTAGTTTTTTATTTTACTTGTACCATTTTTTCACATCCTTGAAAAAATATACATACAAAGTATATCAGTGTGGTTCAGTAAGTGGCATAGTTTGATCTGTTATCTGTAGTCAGGGAGGTAAATATAACTTCCTAGTTTAAAGATATGTGATAGGTGATGATAAATATTTTATTGGCATGTGATAAATCAGGTGCCACCTTGAGGGTGATATTTATTACTGTGAAATAAAATCATTAGTATCCACTTGGCCTGGTTCATGCCTTGTCCTCTGCTGGCTGGTAGATGAAATAAGGAGAACATGGGGTGGTCACTGAAATAGGGACCTGCTTCACAAATTTTAAGGACCTTGAAAAAAAAAATTGGGCAACTGCAGTTCAAGTTGAAATCACAATGCTAATAATCCAACTGAATAAAGTAAACCATGTCTTTCTTATGAGGCAGACACAATATTCAATTAAATTGATCTACTAATTCTTGGGCTTTTACATCATTAGAAATTAAGGCAATGAGTATCCTTAACAAGGATAAGTTGACAAGCTCCACTTTTATTGCCCATTGCCCTATAGTGTTCCTTAATAAAAAATATAGTACTTTCAAACTCTTTATTCCCTCATAGTGTAGAATTGGTTTTTAATAAAATGATTTGCTTTCACCGCAAATATTCTTTTAAATGCTTAATGTGTGGTTGTATACATAGCCCCTCAGGTGTTTGCTTAGCTAAACGTATTTGTTTGCTGTGATTAAAAAGCCTTTGTCGCATTTCTTTTTATTTAGATTGCATTGCAAGTACGTAAAATACTTCCTCCAAAGAAAAAGGCTACCTCAAAACAGTATGGCTTGTCATTATATCATGCTCTCATTGCATGTTTGTGTAGAATGAAGTAAAACCCTAATTTTTCCACCATTCTGACCTTCATGATAATATTTCTGAAAGTTTGGGTTAAATGGAAGAGAAAATTTTTGAATTGTTTGAATTTTAAAAAAAAAATCATAAAATTAACTGAATGGGTTGAATCTCATGAAGAACAGAAGCAATTTAAAATATATCATTTAAGTTTGTTATTATGAATATATATGATATAGTGTGTGGTAGAAATATGGAAACATTTGTTCATTAATACATTTCAAATGGCTTAAAATTAATGAAAAAAAAGCAGTTCTTCAAGTGCTGTGAAACAAAATCGAGCTTCATGGCTGTTCTACAGTTGTTCCTATGGAAGATATTCACAAGCCTGAGCAGCATCATGCTCAGGTGGTAGAGATTATCCTGCGTTTGGCCAAACAATCCAATAAGAGGTACAGAGTTGAATCAAAACAACTGTTAATCAAATATAGAGGGCACGTTTTATTTAGTCTTACATAGAACATAATTGTGAAGAAGAATTATAATCTTTTATCAACAAAGTGATGCATAATGACAATTGGTCAGTGAAAAGGGTGGTTTAAACAGGTGAAAGAAATGTAGACCTCCTTGCCTGTATTGGGATATTCCATGACCTCAGGGCTTGAGTTTGTGGTATTACATGATGGTCAATCAGCTTTACACAAACACCCTTTTCTTGCTGTTTGAATCCTGTTTGTGTTTTTATATAATGTCCATATTTCCACCTGATTTGTAGCCTCAAATTGAAATTAACTCAGAATGATATCATTTAAACTCACCTGTACATATGAATATATTTTATTCATGATATATGGATTGCTAAACTAGCCACTGGCCATTTTTAGATATTTTCTTTATGTCTGGATCTAATTTGAGATTGCAGACCTTACTGCAGATTGTCCTGATGTCCACTATCACCATACAGATAAATTAAATGCAATAATCAAACAGAGCAAGAAATACATGTGGGACATAAATTTGATAAAGTACTTTGTGAAGTTGATTGGTGGCTATATAAAAGAAATAAGCAAGATTTCAAATTTAAACAATTGTACTGCAGTTAGAACCTCATGAAAAATTATTAATTAAAGGGTGATGGCTTTTCTATTACAACAACATAAATGGATATTTTTACCTGAATTTCAGTTGACACTAGTAATGGACTATGGTCTGATGATGGCAGTTTGTATGAACCGTACTTGTACGCTTCATCAGAGTACAGTGCCACCGCCTGCTCCTGTGACTGTCAAACAGCAGATTATGTCCACTCTTGTAGTGGAGCAGTGTAAGTGGCACCACCTTCAAATTCTGAATTCTTATTTACTTTTATTGTGGCAATAATTGTGAAAATTGATGAAAGAAGTTGAAAGATAAATGGGTATTGATGGAATTCTTTTGAGAGTGAAAAGGGAGATGAATTAGAAAAAAATATTGATGACGCTTGTTTTTATTTTAATGCTCACTTTCAGATCACTTTCATCACAAACATTTTCCAACATATCAGCAGAAACCTTCACAGGCTCAGTATCCACACTGTAAGTGTTGACTGTTTATATGGTTGTATGTATTTATGATTTGTAGTTGTAAAATAAATAAAACCAGGGGCACGTTGTCATCTCAATGAAACTTGTCATTCAAGGTCTAACATGTATAAGTGAGAATATCCAAATTTTGTAAATCATGCCTTGTGTAGTGCAGGGATTCAAGATTAAGTCTCTGCCTGCGAATTTATGAAATTATGTTTGAATACATTTATTGTTTTATTTTAGGACTATTTTGTCCTGCCCAAGTTTTAATTTACTTGTAAATGGATCAGCCACATTTGCTGCATTAACCTCAATGACAGAGATGTAAGTGTAATATTTTTTTATCCTACAGACAAAGGATTACTTGGTTGATATAAGGAAATTGATGAAACTGTAGTATTGGACAAACTTGCAAGCAATTTGGCAGTGACTTTGTAATGAGTGTCTTGGTTTACTCTTTAAAACTATTTTTGACTAATGTCAATTATCCTTTCAATGAAAAAACCTTTTAGTAATATGAGACTAGTATTGATTGGTTCTTAAAGTGAACAGTAAAGGATAAGCTATTTAATGCACAAATCAGTTATTTGAATAACTAAGATCAATACAAAATATGGATTCTAAAGTGCTTATTTCAGGCATGCTTTTTCAATGGAAATGAGGAATTCCAACGTTTTTAATTAAATTAACATTTTTATTTCAATGTCTTTCAGTCTAAAAGTTTTAGGTGTTTATCCATTTCTTTAACCAGGCGAATCCAGGTTACTGGTCTGACAAGTTTTCCTGATGTTTCCACTACAAGTCTTCAGATCTTGTGAGTCTGTAAACCATGCAGATCTTGTCTTTTAATTTTATAAGATGTTTTAATTTTTTTCACAAAGGCAAAAAATCAGTTCCTTCAGAACCAGTGCTGTTTATTATTATGTACTTTAAGGTGCACAGTGTAGGATTTTCCCGTGAAAAACTTTTCTGGGGTAAATAAAAATTTTCTCAGACTAACCATGATGATGATGACTATGAACCAAACTTTGATCCTACTTTCCTGACACAACTCTTTAACAATCTGGGATAATAAAAATGCCAAGCAACGATATTTTGTATTCTCTTTTGCCATCTTTCAATTCAGTTTTTACACAAACTTCTGGATTCTGTGCGATTTACTTGTAAAACTGTCAAGATGGTCGACCGGTGGCAAAGTGGTAAATTCTAGTATTTTTTTTGCAACATTAATTCTTCACTAATTAAATATAGAATATCAATAAGAATTTCTATTCCTTGGATAAATTCAACAAGAAGTGGGTTATGTACCTACTGGGTGTTTAAAATCCCACACTGTGTCACTTTAGTACTATTGGAGAAATAAGAATTGAGTAAATGTTTTTTCAAATATGTTAAATTATAATATCTCATCAGAATGTTCTTAATTTCAACATATTTTTAATTTTTTCTCACTAGAATATTGATTTGGTGATTTCTATTTCTTTGGTGAGATATCGATTGAAATTGAGTGGGTTCTTTATTTGTAAACACTGTTTTCCTCTATTATTTTCATTAGAAATCTAGCAAACAACAAGATAACATTTTTCAAACACAATCACACCAACCAAGTATTTCCCAGTTCTCTGACTCATGTGTAAGTATAATTAAATCAATTCACACCTGTTTTACTATATTTCAAACAGCAAGATTATATCTACTTTTTTTACTGCATGCAAGTATTCATATTTTAAATATTTCATTGTACATATGATGCAGTATTAATGCGTTTGAATAATAGTTACATGTATAAATGGGGACTTTGTGCTCAACAAGGTTTTACTAGTGCTTAATGTAAGTTATTTTTTATCTACAGGGCTTTGATGAATAATGAAATATCGTGGGTGCCAGATGGACTGTTTTCTGGGAGCAACATTAGAATCCTGTAAGTAGATGATATGAAATGTGTGTGTGTGTGTGTGTGTGTGTGATAATTGGGGTATGTTTTTATCTACAAAAGTGTGTATGGTTGCCTTTTTTTAAAATGTGTACATGATTGAAATTTTCATCGTCTTCTTAATACCCTTACCAACAAAATTGGCTCCCATCTACATTTGCGGGAGTATTCTGGGGATACCCCTTTTAATCACTATATTTTATGAAATCTATTATATCTGGATTAAAATAACATCAAAAAGGCCAAGCTTTAAGAAAGGCCATAATTTGAAATGTGTTTATCTACTTTTTCTGCACCCAGGTGTACATACTGTATTTGTGCCATAACCAAAGGCCAAGATTACAGAAAATGTATGTAGAGACATTATTTGTGTTAAATATCTTGTGTTTACCTTTAAGGTTGCACCTGGGGATCTCGTGAAACGTTTTTCTTTTAATGATATAATCCAGGAAGGTTGCTTATTGTTATTCAGTTACAATTACTTGTATTCTTACACATACACTAAATAAAAACACCATTATTTTCTTAACAGCTACCTTTTAGTAGATTTGTCATCAAAACTGAAGTCAGATATGAAGTAATTTTTGAACAATGTTTAGGAAAATAATCTGATATTATTAAAGCAATAAATCATTTGGGATATATATATTAAAAGGTTTTAGAATAAGATAGTGAAAAAGGTATCATGACTGTAGCACTGATATAGTTATACCCATAAAAAACTCACGTTGTAAATGTAAATAATAAATAAACTAACTTAGCAAAAAAAAAAAAAAAGAGGGCGCATCAAAAAGTTTCTTCTTAAACCTTTTTTCGAAAACAAATGAAAGCAATTTTATATATTTTATACTTTTGGTACAGCTGGTCAGAATGGACCAAACCATACATGATGATGATGATGATTATGATGATGTACATTACGTAGGATTAATTTGTTGAAGACAAAATGAGACATTTCTGACTACATGTTACATTACAAAGCACTCTGAACTTTTTGGAATCAACAGGTCAATTATGAAGGATGTCCCTGATACAAAAATTAACTGTGATCAACTGAGTTCAGTTGCATGCATCACTGGAGTCACCTCTCAATGCTATTTCTATGAAAGTGCTCATGCATTGAGGAATGAGACAACAATACACATTTTCCATGTATCCCTGCATCTTAATTTTACCTTACTGATCATACTCCAGAAGGGAGAAAAGCAAGCGCACTGCCAGGGTAAACTGTTTGCATAGTCAACAGATTAATATGAAGAGTGGTGGTGAAATCATTGTGTTATGCCTTAGAGTGTAATGTATGACCACTTGTCTGGGGGAATAAGCTGTAAAGCAATTTGTGTTTAATGTGCAAACAGGGGATGGAAACGAGTTTGCTTATGTCATTTCAACACAATGGGTGCTTTTTAAAGACTTAACTGTACACAATATCTCTTGGTTTGTTTATCTATGATGAAGTGGGTCATGTTGTTCAGCTTGATTTTACAATATATATTGATTACAATTAGATTACAATGTCAAATGGTTAATTCAAGAAACAATTTTTTGTTTGTTTTATTAAAGAAGCCTGAGTGGGAATCAGATCCGTTCCTTTCCGAGTTCTGCATTTCATAATATGGCCAACTTGGAATATTTGTAAGTTTTCTTTATTCAGTGAAGTGTTTTTTTTTTTCTTATATGATTTAAACTCTTCAACATTACCAAACAGATTACTTTTAAACTTTTAATTAAATAACTCTTATTGAAAGTACTTAAACAACTGACATTCGAAAGAAGAGTTGGAATTTAAACCATTGCTTTAAAAGTGATTTAAGTGGCATTAATGGATATGTAACAAAATTGTATTAATCTTTGTACAGAAAATGAATGAAAAACCTAGCATATTTTTACCAGATTTATGTGAAGAATGGTGGTGAAATCACTATGTTATGTCTGACCGTGTTATTACTGGTATTTTCTAGAGGCTTGGATGGAAATTTACTCACATCTATCTCCACCTGGCATTTAACACCCTTGACAACCAGTAACTTGAAACACCTGTAAGTATACTATAGTCTATAAGGAACTATTATAAACTGGTAGCTTGGGGGGGTTTAGGCAAGACATTTGCTTTAGCAAACAGAAAAAATATTTGTCACGATGCCCTTAAGATCATAAGTACCATGCTTACTTTGAAATGTAAAGTATAGGTATGGATTGGATCATATTTCATATAAAATTTCTTAAAAGTTGTATTCTTATGTAATTTTACTGCGTATATGTATGGCTTTGCAGTATATTATAATACTTAAATACTTTTAGGAATATAAGTAATAACCAGCTGAATAGTATTGGACAAAATGCTCTGGCACAACTCCCAGAACTAAGAATTTTGTAAGTAAAGATATAGTGGTTTATCTAATTGTGCTTGCCCACTGACATGCAGGCAAAAAGGTACATTACTGTCATAGTGCTCATAAATTGTATCCCCATTATAGGACACATTTGCTAAGCACTGGCAAGCAGTATTTATATCAGTTAAGTTTTTTAAGTACAATAAAAACACTAAGACTCAATCTGCAAGTATCCCATTTTCTTTTAAATTTTCTTTTATGTCATATATTATTGTCTTAATTAAAATTTTAGGGAGGTTCACCAAAATGAATTTGTATCATTACCATGGAAGTCATTCCATAACATACCAAAGCTGGTGCATTTGTAAGTATATTGGAGTAAAGATCCAATTCTCAGATATATAAAATGCAAGTGTGACACAATGATTTTATGTTTTTAACAGAGTTTCTGTTTTGTAGGTGGAAAATCAATTATTATAGTATTTGACCCATTTTGACCACAACTGTATAAATATATAATTGAGATTGACACGGAAAATGATGTTTTCTTTATTAGGGATTTAAACAATAACAGGATTCAAACATTGAACAGCAGAGCACTGACGTCTTTGCCAAAGCTCCAGACTCTAAGACTTCACTCACAGAAAAATCCAATGACTGCTATCATGTTTGATGCTTTCGTTGGGATTGGAGCTGAACTGAGGACACTGTGAGAGACTTTTTGTTTTGCTTTGCTGTTAAAGTACTTGAAATGGGAAATACTCTGTGTACTTTGAAAAACGATGTTGTTACATGTTGTGCATTATAGCATGATGATGAAAAAGGCTAAGAAAGTTTCTTAGATTTAATGTAAGTCTGCTAAGTGCAAGAGTTGTTTGTTCTAGTTGGGTCAGTGACAATGCCTTGCCTAACTTTCCAGCACCAAGTGTTGTCTGAGGAAGTCTATCCAATGCTGTATACTATGTAAGTCCATGATATATCTCTCTAGCAAAATCAAAATGTACTGTTTATAGATATATTATAAGTCATGTAGCACTTTTCCCAAAATAGAAGATTTTTTTTTTTTTACTGATAATGCTGACAGACTTGGTGTAGTTTGAAAAATGAACCATGGTTTTACAACATTATTGACAAATTACTGGGGGTCATAGGATAGTATATACTAATCCATTAATTATGCTTTACCCAAAAATTTTAAAAACACACAAACTTGTTTTACAGTATTTGTACAAGCAATTTTGCTGCTATAGAAAATATATCCAACATTTTCTAGCTATGCAGATCATAATTCTATAAGAGATGTCACCATCTATGGATCAGAAGGCTTCCCATCCTACTCCCAGTCCATGTATACAGTGAAGAAAGTGGGCAAGATTCCATTCCAGAATGTTACTGCCGTCAGATCACTGTAAGGAAATAATTTGCAGTCTTTTTTTGTTCAATTTTTTACTTGCTATTGAGTTCTAGAAATAAATTCAAAATAAAACATTGACATTATGACAATTTATGTTCAAGCCACAATCTAATGTACTGCCATCTATTTTAGATATCTTGACAGCAATTTGATTGCTCAAGTGAATGAGACAGACTTCTGTGCCATGTTCAATCTGAGCCTACTGTCCATGAACTACAACCAGCTAACGGAGGACACCATTCATGCAAATGCCTTCCAATGCCTGCAAGATTTAAGTTATTTGTAAGTACACGTACATGATTTAAGTTGAGGTTCTGTGTCCTTAAGGAAAGGTATTAATAATGTATTTGCTTGTCTTTTATTAGGTAATAAAACATAAGGGGAAATACTGGCACACGTGTGCATTCACACACATACTTAAGTTATTATGCAGGGTATTTAGTACATCATGAAATGTTTAAATGTTGCATGCTTTGTATAAATATGTATTACTTATAAATTTATGTATGCTTGGTTACAAAATACATGTATATTTTCTGATTCTGTGCAAATCTGTGAATATTCTGAAATGTTTATGCAAAATGATTTTATACACGTAAATATATGTGGGCAAACTTTTGTAGCTGCAATATTTGGTGCTCCAGGTATCTTGATTCAAACCAGATACAGTATGTTCCTGAAGCTGTGAAATATGCTACAGTGCTGCCTTCTATATCCTTGCTTGATATGAACAGTAATAAGATTACCTTCTTGTTGTCTGGGACATTTTCTACTTTGACAACTCTAAGGACACTGTAAGTTGATTTTTATGTACAGACAAATGTGTCTGTATATATACATGTAGCTAGTGCTGTTACCAATAACTGATGTTGCCATTGTCTTCGTCGTTATCGCCATCATTGCTGTTGTCATTCAATTTACAGGAGATAACATGATAAATGGAGAACTGTTTGACCTACGGTAAAGTCTTCAAAATTTCGTCCCTTAAAAATTAATTAATATTTTTAATTGTGTAAATCTGACAAATTTTTCAAAATTACCTCTCCCCGACTCCTGGGTATGATGAAATTTTCAAAAATCTGGCCTTTGGGCTTTTATCCTTAGCGACTGTTATCTTTAACCCTCCTATATTGTGGGATATTTATTACTACTTCCTAAGTCATTTTCTGGTGGTAAATAATAATCAATTTATTAGTGCATCTCGATTAAGTTATACTTAACTTACTGTACCCGAAAACATGTTGAGAATAATCTTCTCGGTAAGAAACATACCTCCTGATAGAGGAGAAGGATCAAGATAAGCCTAATTGCAACCTTGCATCATAACCTGGACGCAACATATTAAAAAATTTACACACTTGGGAACGTTTGTTGCATGCAGGGCTTTTCCCAGGATTGAGTGTCAGGCCTTCTAAAATACCATCTGTAACTTCCTAAAAATTTACAGGGAGTTAAAATAATGATCTCCCATTGCCGATCTTCCACAATTTAAGTTCCTTGAACTAATATGAAAACTACATTTTATTATTGTTTACATCACGAACAATCTCCCGATGAAGGTGTGAAAATTGCTTTTTCGTCTAGCAAGGATCGCGAACAATCTACCTCTGATATGATCTTACGCGAACAAAGTCCCTAGAATATTACGCAAACGATTCTCCGCTGAAGATATACCGTGAGCGGGGGAAGGGTGGGCGGATTAAAGATCAAATGAAAATGAATATCTTTTAAAAATCTAAAGTGTGTGTGTGTGTGGGGGGGGGGGTTAAATAATCTCCTGATGAAGATCTTCTGCGAACGAAGTTCCCTAAATCCCTTGAACTAATATGAAAATTGAATTTCATTCTTGTTTACATCGCGAACGATCTCCCGATGATGATATGAAAATTGCCTTTTTGTCTCGCTCGGATCGCAAACGATCTCCCTCTGACGATCTTACGCGAACAAAGTCTTGACGATTCTCCGCTGAAGATATGCCATGAGCGGGGGAAGGAGGGATTAAAGATAATATAATAATATATATATTATTTATAAAACTCAAAGGGGGAGGGGGGGTTAGAATGGGGCCGTAGCAATAGTCCGAAGGTTCAATAGTCCAAAGGTTCATTGGTCCGAATGTTCACTATAGAACCTTCGGACCAATGAACCCTTGATTAAAAAATCGATGAAAATGCTACCACTTTTCGGACCAATGAACCTTCGGACCAATGAACATTCGGACTATCGAGACGTCCTCGTTAAAATAATGATCGCCTGTTGACAATCTTCCACGAACGAAGTTCCCTTGAACTAATATGAAAAGTGCATTTTATTCTCGCTTACATCGCGAACGATCTCCCGCTGAAGATATGAAGATTGCCTTTTCGTCTCTCTCGAATCACAAACGATCTCCCGCTGATGATCTTACGCGAACGGAGTCTGCTACAAATATGAAAATTATCTTCTCATCTCGTTTGGATCGCGAACAATCTGTTGACCATATTACGCGAACAATTCTCTGCTGAAGATATAAAAATTGCCATCTCATCCCATTTGCATTGCTAACGATCTCCAGGTACGAGCCAGGTAATCGTTAAATGGTCCTAAATTGAACATGGACATGAATAGAAGTGACGGGTACATTTCACTTCGAGATAATATCTTGATTTTTTCATTGTGTCTTCCTCATTTAGGACAGCCGCCGATAACAATAACGGCATTACAAATGACAAAGCCGCGGCCTGTGACTTCTATTTACCGGCTTGATAACGCACCTTAAGCCAGGTAGGAGTAATGAAACTAAAGACAAAAGGCCGACGTTCTCGCAATTGAGAACGGGAATTCACATCTAAACTATCTATATTGTGAGTAACCGCTCGCAGGGGTGCACAGTTGTTCCTATCTCCCATTGAGAGTGTTATTGGCAATGATATCCTGATCGTATCATTGTCTTGAATCAACTGACGCATTACCTTCATGTTTGAGCTGGACAACGCGGCCATATTTGGTGACGAACTTTTCAAAAATTATTGAGTACCTCATTTTCAAGGTCGACAAAGTTTTCAATGGGAAAAAAATTATGTCGGCGGTAAATCGTCTACCGACAAAATTTTCAAGAACGACGAAATTTTCAAGACTTTACCGTATTGCCTTCAAACTTAAAAAACTGATAAATATTCTTACGGACGTAAAAGACATGTCAGGTTATAAAATCAGCTTATTTGGGCCATCTTTTTGCCAAAAATTGTTCTGGATTTTTTTGGGGGTAGGGGGGGTGCATATATTTAACTAAATGCAATACATGTAAAAAATTGTTAGTAATTAAAAATTATGCTGTTCATTATGATTTAATATTGCATCAAAATTGACAAAAGACTATTTTGTGCATTGTCACCACAAATGCTATGAAAGGAAAACTGTATTACTTATTATTTTGTAACTAACAAGAATGATCCTTAAGATTGCCATACAGCTCATATTGATAACCCAGCATTATAGGATTAGTTTACTTGAATTTATACAATTTTTTGTGAAGTTTTAATTTTTCTCATTCTGGCATTTTCATTGTATGAATTTGAACTCTTATGGGCCTGAAGTTTTATGCTAATTATATCTTTTATAATGATAATATTTTATATAAAAGATGAATCATTAATATAATTAGATGTAAACAATGCAATTATCCTTAATTTTTAGGGGGCTTGCTTCAAATGATATAATATCCATCGAAAATGGCACTTTTCCAATGACAATAAAATATCTGTAAGTACAAATGTACATTAAGATAAATTTTAGCCATGTTTCATTCATTTTTGAGGGAAGATATCTTGAATTACTTCTTTTATGAAATTATGCATTAGTTTACTTAATTAATGGCAAGTGTACTATATATATATATATATATATATATATATAATGTAGACATATTACCAACAACACTATTAAGATGTTCCACTTACGTAATGACAGTTCAGAGATACAGCACTTATATATGAACATATTATTTTGTGTGAATCTCATGATACATTCAGTAGTGTTACCTGTGGATTCAAACTCTGTTTATATATGTTTCAGGTATTTACGGAACAATGACTTCCGCTTTCTCCATGAAAACCCATTCACCAATCTGGCCAATCTGTCCACCCTTGACCTACAATCAAATAGTATCCAGGTCATCCCAGAGACAGCTTTTGATGGCTGCTACAGTCTGAGAAACCTGTGAGTATGCAACCAAGGGCAATGTATGTCAAAGTCTGATGATGAAATATTATTATAAAAAAGTGGTAGTATCACAAAAAGGCACAGTTTTTAATAAGTAATGCAGGCTCGTAGGCAGGGTTTGGAGGGTTGGAACAAACCTCCCTTCCGCTGGACAAGGTCTGCTCTGGATAAAATTTGATCTAGGTTTCATTATTAAATTACTTTTTCAGAAAAATCCCCCCCTTTAAATGGCTGGCTATAAGGGCCTGTTATGAAGGAGCAGGATATTTTCTATATTCATGGGTACAATTATGGTTTAAATTGAATTATTTTTGCATGGCAGAGTGATATGGGATAGTTGAATTAACTGATGTTAATATGATACAAACTCTAGCTGATCCTCAATTTAGACATGCCCAGTTGTTCTACAAGCACTTTTGTCTAACTTGCAAATCTTTTACTTCTGTTTTTGATGAAAATCAGAAGTCAGTTATCTATTATGAGCATAATGTATTATAATAATCATAATTTGTTATTGCATTAAAACTGATGAAATAACCTATTTTGTCCATCATTATATTTTGCTTTTTGTCTGCACATTTGACAGCTTTGCTGCCTTGTTTAATGATGAAGTTGTCTTTGCAAATTTCAGTGACCTGGGATCAAACCAAATAGGACGGATATTGAAAACCCACCTAGAGGATAACCCACTGGATAGAAAGTTAGACTTGAGTAATAATGATATTGCTTACATAGAAGATAGAACACTTGCCCATGTGACCAGTATGAGCTATAGCCTGTATGTAGTAATTTAAAACTTTTGCTTTAAAACTCTTGCATAACTTCTTCTCATAAATATTTTTGGGTCCTGTTAACTGGAATTGCCATCAAAAGCTTTAATTTCCACATCACTTACGCATATAAGTGTAATAAATTGGATCAACACTGAATCTGGGTTCCCTAGTCAATTAATTCATGACTTCTTGAGATATCCTGATATCCATCAATTACTAAAATAGATAAAATATAAATACATAACACATTTACTGCATAGATGCATGCTGTATATTTATTTCAGTTATTTATTTGAATTTCAGAGACCTAAGCAACAATAAATTGACCAGTCTTCCCCATGGGGGTGACTTTCATGACTTGACCATTGGTTTATACTTTAACCTTGACAACAACCGCATCACTTCCATACCAACAGGAATGTTTAAAAATTTGAGGGTGTCTTCATTTGACATGTAAGCACACGTTTACATGAATCAAAGTAATCTCTCTGTCTTTCTGCCTCTCTTACTTTCTCTCTGCATGTCCAGAGAAAAAAATATGGTCTTCTATTTGTCTACTGGGATTACATGAAAGCACACAACTTGTTACAGATATTACCTACGTACATAACTAGATAGTCAGATCATTCAGTGCTTTTCTGTTTTTCTAGGAATCTAAGAAATAATAAGATTGCCATAATTGAACAGGATGCCTTCTCCTCTGTGTCTGTTGGTCAAGATTTAATATTCAACAACAACCCCCTGAAAATTATTAAAAGCTATGGATTTAATACTACATCATGCAGGGATTTTTTCATGAACAACGTAGGGTTAAAAACTGTTGAAACCAGGGCTTTTATTGATGTCAGCACAAGCAGAGACTTTCAGCTTAATGACAACAGCCTCGGAGCACTACCATCTTATACCTTCAATGGATTATCTGTTGGAAGGGACATGTAAGTAACTATCATATTGTTTCTCTCAAGATAAAAAATTGATCCCATTGAATTCTTCAATGCACTACCTTTTCCATTATTTTGATTAGCATACAATTTATTAATCTGTTATACTCTAAGTCTGTGATTGTCCTTGCAAACCTATTTTAATAAAACATGTCAAAGATGAAGGAGCATTTGCAATATTTATGGAAGATATGTAGGTAATGTTTCTTTTATGTTGACATGTTTTAAATTGATGCTTCAGATAAATATTCAGAAATTGCATATGAAAAAAAATTGGGTGTTTTGTCTGGTGTTGATCAAATAATTGCATCACATGCAGCATACATGTATCTGTATTCTTTGTGCATTTAACCTATTGTTTACTGCTTTTAGCCCTTAACAAGCAACGTCATCAACAGAGATCTGAAAAAAATTTACATTGCAGGTATCTTGATCAGAGTAGCATTACAGAACTTGGAAGTGAAGTGTTTGGTACAGGATCTTCTATATCAAACATTCTACACCTACAGAACAACCAACTGGTCCAACTGGCAGCAGACGTCTTCACTGGCATTACATTTACACGTCTGGATCTATCAGATAACCTTCTGGTGTCATACCCAGGGGCTGCTCTGTCAGCACTGACTTTGACAAAATTGTAAGTGGCTTCGATTTCAGAGCATTCAGCAGCAAGATCTCTACAATTTTTTGACTTAATACATTCAGTAAATAAGCCAACCTTAAGCTGAACAAGATGTGATTATGAGAAAAAAGGCTATCATAGTCTCTAAACTATTCTTGAAAAAAGTATGTTCCAGTCCATCATCTTGTTCGTTCATTTATGAGTGGTGATCCTGTGCCCAAATGTGACACCTGCTGGGAAACAGGGTTTTAACATTTAAAACTCATTACAATGAACATTTGAAATCTGACAACCCCATGGGCATCAGACAACATTCTAACATGTGACTTTGCTGTCAGACTAAAACTGTTATTTAAGATATTAACCCAAGTAAAAGGGTGGGGGAGTGGTAATATGAGCATAGCAAACATAATAAAGTATGAGAAATTAGCTGTTTACATCAGGCCCCCACGCCCCACACTCAATAGCAAACAAGGCAAACAACTTCCTAGTTAGGGTTAACCATTTCCTGGGTGTCATATGTAGGCACTATGGGCGCATTCCCATAGATTTTAGGTCGATCTATCCCCGTGGGGAGTCTCACTAGATCACTGTCAGATAATCCGGCTTAAATGTCCGTCCCGCCTACTACAAGCTGTAAGGGGGTAATTAATTCTCGTGCCCGCTCGGTTGACAGCTATTTAGCGTGAACCCCCAGGGAGTTAGGTCGATCTAGTTGGATCGATCTAATTTCTGGGAATGGGGTTTATGTCACCATTCACTTGTTCCAAGGTTCAAAGATGGTGGGTCAATATTTAGCTCTCAAGTCACATATAACTTTGTTTTTATAAAGATGTGATATATGATCAATGTTGAGGGGTTTACTTTACCTTTATTCATAAGCCTGTTTCACTTCTACAGCTAATTTAGTAGAACAAAAAAAACTGATATAAGTTGAATGTGAGAGCTTGTCAAGAACTGCAATATTTACAGTAATTGAAAATTGAACAAATTTTTTTTTTATTTTTAGAGATATGCCAAGAAATCAGATCTCTGACATCCCAGATGGCTCCTTTGCAGGACAATCCAGTCTCACTTCATTGGATTTATCTGAGAATAGAATTGCAGTTTTGAGAGGCACAGTTTTATCACCTTTGACCAGTCTAGCTACACTGTGAGTATTCAGCAAATTGACATGAAAATTCACTGAACAAACTTCACTAGATGAATAGATAGTTTTCTGTAGTATTTAGAGTTCAAAGGTACATCACCTTTGTGATGTGGGCGTACAGTGACATCAGAAACAAGATTTCTATGATTTAAACAGTTCATGTCATAACTTTTGGTCCTCTCCATGTACATATTGGACAGCTCTCTAAGCTTTGGCATTATTATTTTTAGCAAACTTCAGAGAAATCTTATTGAGAGGATTGAGGATGGAGCCTTCAATGGTTTGAATTCACTGGCAACTTTAAGACTAGGTAACAACTTAATTCCCCACCTGCCCAGTTTTGATGGGCTGACCAGTCTGGCCACAGTGGACGTGTCTGATAACCAGATCAAGACACTAGGAATGGGTCAGAACGGAACCTTCTACCTACTTGTAGATCAAGCATTGAATACTGTGTAAGGACAAGTTTTTTTTATTCAAAGATTATCTTTTGAGAATCTTACTTGAAAAAAAATAGCTACTTGTGCTGTAAATGCATTATTTGTGGCATTACATGTTTTGTTGTCAAATGTTCAGCTACCATGGCTATGGTATATAGAGGCTTCCTTGTAACACACAGTAGTTCTTCTATTGATATCCTTGTTTTAAATGCTGCTCCATTTAAACAAACCAGCAACAATCTAGATTAACAGCCATTGACTTTTCAGAGATTTGTCCAACAACCCACTATCATGTGACTGTTATACTTACCACTCTCTGTCCATGGTTGCCAACAAGTTGACTTCAGCCAGGTGTGCCAGCCCTAATGAAACAATAGGATATGGGTTTGATTCAGCTGCATCTCTCCAGTACACAGATCTGAGTTTAGAGAATTATCAGTGTTGTAAGTATGTTTGACATATGTTTGTACAATGTTTCCCTGACCTATGTGTTTAAAATGGTGCAGTGGCTAAAATAAGGTAATTGGGTTTTGAAAAAAAAAAAAGAGAATTTTGGCACTCCTTCCCACTCGCCATTTAATTTGTCTGAAAATTTTACCAGTTCGGGCATGTGAATGAAAGTAGATTTCAGTCAAGTTGCATTGTAGTTGGTCTGTTCATTTGACAACTTTACTGTCTAGTTTTTGTAAAGCAGCAATTTGTCAAGTTAACATGAAATGCGCCATTTCAGTGAATGGTAAACTATTAATCCCTGTCCACTGGAGGTCACTCTAACAACATGCATCTTATATCAGCACTAAGGACAGTAGACAAGTAGACAATAGAATCAAGATTAGCTCCCTCTGGCCAGAAATCATTATTACAGTCTCTGTTGTCATCACTATATGACATGTACTAGTTTTTTTTTTTTTTTGCCTACTTGCACATTTGGCAGACTACAGTACTTCAACATTCAGCGAAACTCAAAGAAGGATGTGCCACATATCCTGTAACAATTAACAACTGTAGTCTTCATTGCCCTTTTTTAGCTGCAGTCAATGTGACGGCCATTGCCCCTGCAGCTTATCAGATACAGGTGGACTGGAACCACCCTCCCTTCCTGTACCCTGGCCAGGCAGCTGGGGACAGGAGCCAGTGGTAAGTTGACTGGGGTAGAGAGTTTATTGGAAAGGGGTGTAGGGGAGTGGTGATGTCAGCATAGCAGACATTTGTCTTTAAGACCAATATCATGCATTATTAAACTGAAACGTTTTTGCAATTTTTTCATCTATGCCGAGTAAGAGAATTTGATGATTTGGCTTGACTTGTTTGTACAAATATTTTTGTAAGATATGCATGATTAAGGCAATGACTTGTAAAAGTGAAATGGAAGGGGATAAAAGAGGTCAATTAATTGGTTTTAGAATGTATACACAGAACATGGTTTGATGTTGCCATACATTAAACATTATGTGCACTAATATACTTGTTTCCTGTACAAAACCATTAACATTATTCCAGGCTTTATCTTGTCACCTGTGAGAGTGCCATCGCCAGCACTTTAAACAGCAGTGTGTCTGGCAGTTCCCCTCCCCAGGCTTTGTTTGTAGAGGCAGATGGTGTGCAACTGGGCACAGACTACATATGCCATGTTCAGTTACAGTATCAGGGGATTACAAGTGGCTTCAGTTCTCCTGCCTATGTCACCACAACTCTTGCATCTCTAGGTGATCATCTTTATATACTAGTACCTATATGTACATCTGAACAGGTTTCCAGAAATTGGAAATGTTCTTTAACTGAGTAGACCATTTTGTTATATTATTATTTTTAGTGTGTTCTGTGAGGAAGGAAGTAAATCAGTGACAAAATATAGACCTCAAATCTGTATTCAGATTCTATTTATTTTGAAATTCCATGATAACGTGCACATCTTTGTGCCTCAGAATGTGAAATAAAGCCAACTGTTAGATGAATTAATGACAGTGATTTATATCTCTGGTCCCATAAACTTGTGTTAAATATCATTTCTATATAAGTAACTTATTTTCAACTATATATAATTTTCTAGGGGATTCTGGTGCCCAAGTCCAGGATTACATTGTCATCTCCACATACTATGACTTCAGCCTAGTGCACACTGATTTCACTGGCACAAGTACCACTGCTGTAACACAGCCAAGATATGTTGCCAGTCCATATGGTGCCTGGCCAGCCATGTCCACCAATCCAACACTGGACACTTACTCAGACTGGTTCAGGAAGGTGGCCGGTACCAATGTTGAGGTCCATGTTAACATGACCCTGTCCAGTCAGGCTGGTGCTGCTGTACCCACTCACAGGTATTGGATGGACAGTGGTGATTTTTCTTTAATGTTTCTACCAGTTTTGTGTCATATTTTAGTCAGCTGATTCATTGTGAGTTCATTTATGTAAAAGAACTGAAATTCAGGTAACAACCTCTCTTTAGTTTTGAAATATGAACTTATGGGGTTGAAAAGTTTCTGTTGATCATCTTCAGTGGCATCCTTAGTATAATTAGAGTTTGCAGCAAGCATGCATCAAATTTCCTGCAAATCTGCAAGAATGATAGATTTATATAACCACACTCATCTTGCTATATTCGATCAAGAGATAATGACATAAGTGATAATGTGAATCTTGAGTTACTGGGTACATGTATATGCATATTATCTTTTAGCAACTTCATATAAATGCCTTTTTGTGGCACACTTTGTTTAATTACTTTTAAAGCTTTGTGAAATATTTATTGATTTCTAGGTTCCACTCCTCTGCCTTCTTCCCTCTAGATGGTGTTGGATATGGAGCAGAGGGACAGAGAGACTGCAACAATGTGCTCCATAATTTTGGGTAGGCCTGAATTTTCTAATGACCACACCTCAAAAGTTAAACCAAATATTGAAAGCTGTCTGGAAAAGAAAAGATATTTTAAACAATGTCAGTCTGTATTTTGTAATCTATTTTCTACTTTGGTTTTTAGGATACCATTGAACCTGTTAAAATGTTTAGATTTCATTATCTTAGTGCGTGTCTTTAGATATCTTTGTAAAGGTTGCAACATGTGCTTCCACAATATGATGACTGTTTTTCCTTGCAGTTTCACTACAGCCATCAGGGCAGGGTTTGAGTTCACAGGAGAGGAAACTTTCACCATAGCTGGTGGGGAAGATATCTGGCTGTACCTTAATAAAGTACTAGTCCTGGAGATCACACTGAATACCACTGCCAGCAGTGTAGTATGTAAGAAAGTGAACATCTCAGCTGCCGCTTCTTCAGGTTAGTATTCTGACTCATACCCTGGGTGATATACACGTAGTAAGACAGTGCAGGAATATCAATCGATTTATAATGAAATAAATTAGTTCAGGTAATTTTTAAGTATTAAACTATAATTTCCTGTTTGGGAGAATTTCTCTTTTTTTATTTTGACAGGGAAGTTTAGAAACTGTTGTATAGAAGCCAGGAAATTTTAGTAGAGGTCATATGAGGGGTTGAGTTTTCACCTTGAAAGCTGGGTCATATCCATGCCTCCATATGATATCTTTATCTGTTAGTATTACTTTTTTGCATTTTCATTCCATCTACTTATCAAGGTATTTTTATTCCAGGAGGAGGGAATACAGTAGTGGAGCAGGGGATATTAGTTGGTACACAGTGCACTAACCTTGTAACAGTTGCCACTGAAGCAGTCCACTTAGAACTTCAGGTTGATTTTTAGTTTGCAAAATTAATTTTCTTCAATAAAATAAAATGTAATTTTCTTTATTTCCTTTTAAACTGCTTCAGCTTCGTATGTAAATTTTAGTATTGACCTAGGGAAAAACTCTGAAAAAGGCATGTGATTTTATAAAGGATAAGATACTGGTATATATAATATGGTGTCCCAATAAGACAATAGTCACGACAATATTTCAGGTTGGTGAGCTCTACCACTTCGACCTATTCCATGTAGAGCGGAGACTATGTACAAGTCAGTTGTTTATTGAGACCACATCAGCTGTGATAGTGGACGATGTCCCCCCAGTGGACTATACTGTGACCATTGCTGAAGACTTCCATGTGGATGGCATACTGACTGCTATGGCACTAACTGATGATTTCTCTTCTGGGCCAAATTATGAAATTTCTCTGCTTAGTGGTATGTTTTTATTTAGGGCATATAATTATATCATTATATTATGCAAAATTAAATTTTAAATCATATTTGTAGCATGCACTTAATATATGACACAATGATTACCATACACCTAGTGGAATGTCACTCTTGTGAATTCTACACTGAACAACTCTGTTATAAAATGGTCTTAGCTTAATGAAAGGTAAAATAAGTTTTAATAACTTTAAGATTTTGTCTCTTTTTAAGGTAATGAGGCCAGACATTTCACAATCAAGGAGGATACTTCGGCCAATCAGGCTGCTGCAGTAGCCCCAACAGAAGCTTCCCCCACATACACCAACATATCTGGGGTGCCAGTGGAATTCCTGGGTAATACTGCCATGCTACTCATTTATAGAAACCTGTGAATATGCATAACATTTTTATTGTGAAGTTCAGTATAAATTATATGCTCTTGAATAGGGGTTCATATTATGTTTTAACTGATGTTGTACTTAACCAGTAGATGAAAGGTAGTGAGTGAAATGGAGTTCATTACATAATATTTTTGCAAAGCATTTTAAAAAAATCTAACAGCTAGCCATGTCATGTTTCTGATATTTTTGTTTCTTCTGACTGCCAGTATGTCCCACTGCTGCCACCTTTGAACCTGAACCAGTGTTTACAGACCGAGAGAGCTACACTCTGTCCACCACATCTGCTCTGCTCACTCTCAATACAACCCTGGACTATGAGGTCCAGACCAGTTATTATGTTACCATGACTGTGGTAGACACTGGGAACTCGCTGACTGGGACCATAGCAGTCAGGGTGAGTAAGCAGTGTATTATATAGATATCTAGAGCTGCGAGGTGGCATGTGTTTAGAGAATATGTGATATCCAGTAGCATAAAAATTGTAAAATGGCACACTTTGTTTTTACAAAATTGTGGAAAATGTTGATCTGAACTGTCAAATTCAGATAGACAATTATCAGATTCCCAGGAACTTGAAGGTACAAAATTTGTTAAATTCTTTTTTTTTTTCTAAGGTAAAATACATTGAGTGAAATCCAAAATCTTAATTAAAAAAAAATGAAATTGATGTGGGTCATAGCTTTACATTTAGTGAGTTGATAAATTTATTTATTTATTTACCATCTTTAGGTGTGGATAACTGATGTAAATGACAACTGTCCAATCCTGGTAGAGGATACCTTCAGTTTTGAGCCTATTCCAGCTCTGAAGCAAGACCCAATTATCAACCTGAATGTTTCGGATGCTGATAGTGGAATTAACTCTGAGCTGTCATATTATGTGTCAGATGTCACGGCAGAGTAGGTGGTTTCAGACTGATGATATCACTTCATATACATGTAGTTTGCTCCATTATAATATTCACAGCCAATACTAATGCATAATTTATTAAGCTTTATTTTTTGTCTTTTAAAATATTCAGAATCAAAGCAACCATGCAAGCATTTAATTGTTGTGTGCATATTCTAAGAAAGTGTTCTGATTTTTTTTGCATTTAACAGTCCACCACTCAATTATTCAAACCGCATGGATTTGCACAGAGAGGTTTATGTCCTCAACACCACACTGACCTTCAATATAGCAGTTATAGATGGCGGCACACCACCAAGAGGAACCACAGCCAATGTATCTTTGACTTTAAGCAACACTTGCCTAGTGTCGGCAACATTTGAACCAATTGATTACAACATCAACATCAATGCCACCACAAAAGAAGTTTATCTTAGTATACCTAAGTATTGGGTCTATGCATTTGGTAAGTGAGTTTTTTTTTATCTTCTAGGGTTACATTTGCTGTTTTTTAAGTTCATTTAGTTAATGTTCAATCATTATTGTTTCAACAGTTGTATAGTATGTTTTAAATTTAATTTTCCTGGAAATATATAACAATCAAGCCATTCCCTATTGCTGTATTCCAGAGTGCATGGATCTGCTGGGGATGGCCAGTGGCATCATACAAGACAGAGTTCTCTCAGCCTCAAGTCATGACTACGTGAGCCCGCCAGGAAGAGGAAGGTTGAACTTGACACGTAAGAACAATATTGAAATATTTAATGCTGTGTTTTTTCTTTCAATTTCTTTGAATTAAGAACATGTACCTATATGTAACTGCCATTAACCATGTACATGGGTATACTATGTAATATTACTGACAAAATATTCAGTCCTCAGTCTTATATATATATATAACGGTATATATCCCCTCTTTATGTTACAGTTGGTACTGGTGGTATAACAGGAGGTTGGGTAGCTGAGATAGCTGACACTGACCAGTACATAGAGATAAACATGGAGGAAGGGTACAAAGTCCAACAAATCATGATACAAGGACAACAGGATCAGGACAACTGGGTGACATCATTTCGTGTCAACTACAGTGACAGTGATACAGGACCATGGATAACATATCAGGATCAGAATGGCACATCAGTCAGTATATACAGTGTATTGTATATAAAGTTATAAGTTATTCATTAATATCATAAAGCATATTTGTCATTCAGAGAATTTGTTTGAGGAAACTTGTATCTAAGATCTAATAAACGGNTACTTACATTGGTATTACCTGTTGAGCATAATTAAAATTTGAAGTTGAATTTGCAGTTTAACATAATGTACTTTTGCATTAGAATTGACAGTAGCCTATTTTGTTATTTCCTGCTTTTTGTCTGTACATTTGACAGCTTTGCTGCCTTGTTGTTCTAACAGTTGTTTTGTATGTTTTTTGTTTGAATTTTCCTGGAAATATATATCAATCAAGCCGTTCCCTATTGCTCTATTCCAGAGTGCATGGATCTGCTGGGGATGGCCAGTGGCATCATACAAGACAGAGTTCTCTCAGCCTCAAGTCATGACTACGTGAGCCCGCCAGGAAGAGGAAGGTTGAACTTGACACGTAAGGACAATATTGAAATATTTAATGCTGTGTTTTTTCTTTCAATTTCTTTGAATTAAGAACATGTACCTATATGTAACTGCCATTAACCATGTACATGGGTATACTATGTAATATTACTGACAAAATATTCAGTCCTCAGTCTTATATATATATATATATATATATATATATATATATATATATATATATATATATATATATATATATATATATCCCCTCTTTATGTTACAGTTGGTACTGGTGGTATAACAGGAGGTTGGGTAGCTGAGGTAGCTGACACTGACCAGTACATAGAGATAAACATGGAGGAAGGGTATAAAGTCCAGCAAATCATGATACAAGGACAGCAGGATCAGGACAACTGGGTGACATCATTTCGTGTCAACTACAGTGACAGTGATACAGGACCATGGATAACATATCAGGATCAGAATGGCACATCAGTTAGTATACACTTGTATTGTAAATAAAGTTATAAGTTATTCATTAATATCATAAAGCATATTTGTCATTCAGAGAATTTGTTTGAGGAAACTTGTATACATCATGATGCAGTATACCTATATATGGGAGTTCAATGTGCTGTAGATGTACTTAAAATGTTGTATATTTTATACTGTATGGTTTGTTGCTTTTATATTTCAGATCTTTGATGCAAATAGTGACAGAAACACTATTGTGACTGTGACCCTTACTCCACCTATTTTTGCTCAGTACCTGCGTTTGAACCCAGTCACATGGCACAACAGAATAGCACTGAGAATGGAGATGGTTGGCTGCTCACAGGCAGAGCAGAAGTACTGTAAGTCACAGCATTAGGCGTACTTGTACATTTGATATACGTTGGCAGTATTTTATATTTATTGATAGTTTATTAAGACTGATGGAATAGTAAATTTTATTGTTACACATGTATATGACAAAACACATAAATAATAAACATATCTAACTTCAACACATATTAGAATATTTGTCTGTAAATTGGGTTCTGAACAGTTGATCATATAAATAAGGGTCTGAATTGAGACATTTTGTGTGATTCAGTTTTGCTTTTTATAACATATAGACTATGTAGAAGATTATAACATGAAAATGCAAAGGCAAAATTGTAAGACCATGTCTCTTCATGCCCGTATATAACAGGTCGCATATAATTATGATTCTTGTTTACATCTTATTACACTCATATGCATTAGTATTACCTCCCTATTTATTAATTCACATTAATACTTATGTCCCTAAAATATACATGTGAAAAATACAAATTATAACCCTTAAGTATACATGTGAAAAAAATCAATTTTCTGCTCAGATGATGTGTCCTGTGTCCGCTGCCTGACCTCCTACTACTGTGAGGGAGATGGTGTGATGCATTCCTGTGCCAGATGTGATAATGCCACAGACACCAATGATACGTGTGGACGATCCCCCACAGAACATTCCTTTGGCCTCCAGGCACAGTGCTCTCCATGTCCTGCTGGATGGGTGAGTATTACCATAACTGGCTTGTCTTTGTCCTGTTGGATGAATGAGTATAATAACTGTAACCCACTCCTGGTCAATGTTTTATGGTATTTTGACCTGCATGTTGACCTCATATATCATGGTAATAATAAAATATTTTCATGATACACTTTCATTGATAAAAAAAAATAGGATTATTTTTGTACATTGAATTCCATATTTCAAAATGTGCCATGATGTTAAATGTTTAAATATTTTTTCTTTGCATGGACAAAGTGTAATTATTTGAATATTAAAATTAATTTTAATAGCATATGTTCCATACATTGTAGCATTCAACCTGTTAAACTATTTCTGATTCCAGATTTGTAGTCAAGGCTATGCCACACCATGTGTTGATTTCACCTATGTAGACTACTGCAATGACACCTATTGTCCAGATAGTTGTGCACAGTGTGAACTTGGCTATGCCTGCCGCGGCGGACAGAGATACCAATGTGAACCTGGTTCTTACTCTGATGGAAATCTAAGTAAGTTAAATTGACTGAGCAGCTTATAATGACCAATCAGGTGTACACCTAAAACTGAATAGAGATATTTTGGATTGATAAAGCTGGTAATGGTGTGTAATGAATTTGAATACTTTCTTCTACAGAGTTCTGTGAGATGTGTGCTCCTGGGACTTTCCAAAATGAGTCAGGTCAAGATGGCTGCCTCCCCTGTGACCCTGGAAAATACAGCAGCAAGTCTAAAGACAGATGTGACTGGTGTCCTACAGGAATGTATGCAGTGGGTAAGTCTATAGACAGTTGTGACTGGTGTCCTACAGGAATGTATGCAGTGGGTAAGTCTATAGACAGTTGTGACTGGTGTCCTACAGGAATGTATGCAGTGGGTAAGTCTATAGACAGTTGTGACTGGTGTCCTACAGGAATGTATGCAGTGGGTAAGTCTATAGACAGTTGTGACTGGTGTCCTACAGGAATGTATGCAGTGGGTAAGTCTATAGACAGTTGTGACTGGTGTCCTACAGGAATGTATGCAGTGGGTAAGTCTATAGACAGTTGTGACTGGTGTCCTACAGGAATGTATGCAGTGGGTAAGTCTATAGACAGTTGTGACTGGTGTCCTACAGGAATGTATGCAGTGGGTAAGTCTATAGACAGTTGTGACTGGTGTCCTACAGGAATGTATGCAGTGGGTAAGTCTATAGACAGTTGTGACTGGTGTCCTACAGGAATGTATGCAGTGGGTAAGTCTATAGACAGTTGTGACTGGTGTCCTACAGGAATGTATGCAGTGGGTAAGTCTATAGACAGTTGTGACTGGTGTCCTACAGGAATGTATGCAGTGGGTAAGTCTATAGACAGTTGTGACTGGTGTCCTACAGGAATGTATGCAGTGGGTAAGTCTATAGACAGTTGTGACTGGTGTCCTACAGGAATGTATGCAGTGGGTAAGTCTATAGACAGTTGTGACTGGTGTCCTACAGGAATGTATGCAGTGGGTAAGTCTATAGACAGTTGTGACTGGTGTCCTACAGGAATGTATGCAGTGGGTAAGTCTACAGACAGTTGTGACTGGTGTCCTACAGGAATGTATGCCGTGGGTAAGTCTATAGACAGATGTGACTGGTGTCCTACAGGAATGTATGCTGTGGGTAAGTCTATATTATAAAGACAAGTTGACTAATGAATGTGCCACATAAATAAAAATGTCATTTGCTTTCTCATTTTTATCAGTGGTAGTAACTGCTTTAAGATTTTTCTTCAGTGTATTAATGAACATTCTTCTGAACTGCTGGAACACCTGATATTTAAGAAATGAATGTAGAGATGCATGGGAACAAAAATACTTACTCAGTAATGTTGCAGCAAAAAATGGTTTGGGTACCATTCCAACATATTGCGTTTAATTCATTATTATCAATATATATAAATTGAAACTGTTATTCATTTTCTTTCAGTTTTGTTAAAACTTAATGAATGAAAATATTGTTTTCTCTCTGTAGATGGCAATAACTGTGAAGGTTGTCTCCCAGGCCAGTGCAGATGCCTACAGAGCCCTTCTCCATGCTCTGAGGGAGCTGCTTGTCATGATACTTCCCCTGGCAGCTACGTGTGTGATTCCTGCCAGCCTGGGTATGAAGGTGATGGTGCCAACTGTACTGATATTGATGAGGTAGGGATGATGATTGGGAACTAGATACAGAAAGGACTCTTAACATGTCGATTTTTAACATTAACGCGTGCAGGCATGCGCACACACATACACAGAGAGGGGGGGGGGGAAAGAAATTTGAACTTAAAAATTTAGACACCATTTTATTAAGACTGAATTCTAAGGAAAATTACTAATGTCTCTGTTTAATAAGCATCAATCATGCCAGAAATTTTAACAAGGTTGATTCTTTTCAGTGTGCTGTATACCAGCCATGTTTTCAAGGCAGATGTATCAATACATCCCCAGGGTATCAGTGCTTGGCCTGCCCCACTGGGTACACAGGCACCTATGAGGATGCTCTGGCTATGAATATTACAAGGTGAGATGAAGCAGTTCACCTTTAGTTTCAATCTATTTAACTTTTTTATCAGTAAAAAGAACAGTGTAGTGAAAACTATATATGCTGTGCAGTTCAAAAATTTACGGAATATTGCAAAAAAAAAAAAAAAGAAAAAGATATGTGTTCTAATGTCTATGAAGGTATATAAATGTTACTTAATTGGGTTGAACTGTCATTTCATTTCCAGGCGGGTATTTGTACTGTTTAACAAAGAGTATGATTACCTGCAAGTCCAGCGGTGTGAGGATGTGGATGAGTGTGCCACAGACAATGGAGGATGTGATGTACATTCTGACTGCAGCAACACCATTGTAAGTACACTGTGTAGCACATATATGCTCTACACAACCTTCACCAATATAATAAAAAAGCATTTGAAATTTTTGGAAAAATAGATTAAAAGTATACAAACTATGTATCAGTATGCCATTTTAATTGCACAGAAAATGAAAGCTGTAATAATTTTTACATAAATATACTGTGAAAAATATATATAAATAATATATAAATAAATGCTACAATAAATTACCTTGATGTGTTCATATTCATCATAACCTTAGATTATTTTAGATAAAGATGAAGAATGCTTCGATTTTCTCTTACATATTAGGGTAGCTACAACTGTGGGTTCTGTAAGACTGGCTGGATAGGTGAGGGTCGTAGAGTCTGTATACCAGACAACCCCTGTACCACAGGCACTCATAACTGTAACCAACATGCCACCTGCAGCTATGCTGGACCAGGACTCTTTAAATGTGAGGTAGGGTGATACAGCACATAGTAGGAAACAAGATCAATAAGACAACATGATATATTTGATGAAGTAGATTCCAGTCTTGAAGATGTAGGTTAATTGTCTTTGTTATTCGTTTAGATAAAGTTGTTTTAAATCAGCATTTGTTATTGTTTGATCTAGTATTTGCTTATTAAGGAATTGCTTAAAGGGAAAATAACTCTTCGTATGAGATCTATATTTCACAATAAAAACATTGTAAATAACTCATAGAAATATAATATATTCTGTTTTACCACAAAAACTGCAGTTATAGCTCGAAATTCTGATATTTGAGCTTGTCTTTAAACCACGTGACCTCCATTGATGGCTATACTCTATTAAAATCTCTTAAGAGATTTTAACAAAATACCAAACTTTTTAGAAAAAAAACAGGGACTAACTTTGAATGTAAAAATGGATTTATTAACCATTGGTAAGTATGGGAAAATTGTTGTTTACTCCAGGAAAATTCATTTTTTGGCCGAAAAGAAGAGTTATTATCCCTTTAAGATAAAAACATCCAAAAGTATAGATCATGCACTGATAAATATGAGTGTGTTTTGTGTGTTTATGTGATCCCTTGTTTTCTCCCAGTGCAACCCTGGCTATGCTGGAGATGGTGTGTTCTGTGATGAGGACTATGACTTGGATGGTCGCCCAATCAGAAATATTGTGTGCAGCATTAGACAGTGTATTAAGGTAGGTACATTGGACATGGAATAAATAATATCAGAGAAAAAAAACAAACAAACCAATTCTTTAGAGGTGTAATGAAAATAGATAATAGTAAAAACCAAGTGTGGATAATGTCATTGCAGTTGGAATGGAAAAGAAACAAAGAATGACAAAGAGGAAAAACACTGGACAGCTACCCATAACTATGGGTTCATAATAAAGTGAGGCATGCCGAGACATCAAGACCGAGAGATGTGGAGGACGTAGATCTTCAATACTGTGGAGCAGGGCCCATGATAAGATGACTGTACATGAAAGCTAAATGCAACAGATGGTTACTGTGAGTGGTGAGAGCTTGCTTATGAGTCTGTAAACACATATTTTATGCTTTGGCTGTTGTAATTTCTCTTCCTTATTGTTCATTACCAACATTTATTTCTCTAGGACAACTGTGCTGCCTACCCCAACAGTGGTTTGGAGGATAATGATGGCGACAGCATGGGGGACATGTGTGATCCAGATGATGACAATGATGCACTTTATGACTACAGAGTAAGTATGAATAGTTGTCCATTTCATCCAGTACTATCAAGTGAAAACAGTCATCGGAAGCTACCTTTGAGGTCATTCAGACTATTTATATTGCCACATCTTTCATGTATCTATAGAATATGCAATCATCTGACCTACTGGTGTTACAGGATAGTAGACAAGGGGTTCACATGGTTATAGAGAATCACTTTTTTGGTTTGTATAGGTCCACTCTGAATCAAATTTTGATCCTGATTAATGCAATTTCTCAGACTGGGTCAACTAAGAATGTAAAAGGCTTACTTCTTCAGAGCAAAACCCCCTTATTTGAAATTGCTGGTTACAGGTGTGTTATTGACTGACTGTAATTGCAGGATAACTGCCAGTTTGTGGCCAACTATGATCAGACAGACACAGATGGAGATGGTGTGGGTGATGCCTGTGACAACTGCCCAGCAGACAGTAACACTGACCAGTTGGATACAGACTCTGATGGCCAGGGAAATGCCTGTGATACAGATGATGATAATGATGGTCAGTGGGTGGAATCATTTTTAAAGGGACATATAAGAATGTAGAAAAATATAAGCTTAAAATGTTTTGTATAGACTTGTTTCATAGACTTATCAACTTGTGGTGAAAATAAATAGAACTTTAAAAATCAATTGTTTCAATAATTAAATTTTTTCAAGATCTCTAGTATTATAACTTTGGTTTGGGTCAGTAACATGAAGGCCTTGTTCCAGGTGTGAATGACTCTGCACCAGATAACTGTCAGTTTGTAGCCAATGGAGACCAGAGTGACGCAGACTCCGACGGCATTGGCGACCTGTGCGACAACTGTGTGAATGTCGCCAACGACAACCAGACGGACACGGATCAGAATGGTGTAGGAGATGCCTGTGATGTGATTGGAGCTAGTGATAAAGACAGGTAAGAACCGTTGGCTTATGAATTGTGAAACCAACAAAGGTATTTGCACTTCATTATCTTAAAAAAAGAAAGGAAAGACACAAGTTAAAATTGATAGAAAACCTGGTTTGTTGAATGAAAACTTTTGTCTCATATTCAGGGATGGTGACAGCATATTGAACTTCCTGGATAATTGTCCATATGCTCCCAATCCAGAACAGACAGATATAGACGGGGATGGCCAGGGTAAGAGAATGACCCCTGTGTAACTTTTTGTTTAATATGTTTATCATACACATTATAAAAGAACAGGTTTGTCAAAAAAAAAAAAAAAAAAGACACATACAGTACACACAGGAATGTCCAGACAACACTTAAGTTATATGTACTATAGATAACTCTGAGCTTACTATTCTATGAAACTTAATAATCTATCCTGAACTTCTTGCAGGTGATATCTGTGATGATGATATAGATGGTGATGGTATATCTAACAACCAGGACAACTGTCCATATGTGGCCAATGCTGGGCAGGAGGACACCAATGGTAAGTATTAACAGCCTGTTTTCAAATATTTTGTTTGTTGCTTGCTGGAATTTATTAATGTGGTTATTTCATTTCACATCAAAATTGCAACTTGGTGAATAATATAAAAAACATGAAAATGTATTATTATAAGTAATGAAAAATTAACTAATTAACCATTATAACATTTATATTGAATAGTATGTTTGACATCGACTTGCCCTAGCAGCAGATATCAGTATGAAAGTGACTATATTGGGGATAGTCAGATAAAAGTTAAATGATTCTTTTCCAACATTCCAGGTGATAGAGTAGGAGACATCTGCGAGACAGACACAGACAATGATGGAGTACTTGATATCTATGACAACTGTATAAAGAACCCTACAATAAGCAGTACATCATTTGCTTCCTACACCTCAGTCAACCTGTACCCCTCCCTGTCAGGTGCCACAGACCCCCAGTGGGAGCTCTGGGATAATGGTGCCATGATCCGACTAGTCCAGGACACCACAATGCCAGCACTGTTAGTAGGTAAGCTGTGGAGTTAACCCTGTTCCATGGATTGTGAGCTATGTACACAGACACATGGTGCATGTACAAGGAAGTGACAACAGTGATAAAACAGTTAATTTGTGCTGAAGTGGATAGTACATGAGAAGTCTTACAGGAGTACTGCCATTTAATATTTACATTTGCTAATTTCTTTAAATACACTGGTATGTAATTTTCTATGTAATTTCTGAATTGTTACTTTTTCTTAGGTCCACAGGCCTTTGGTCCTGTAGATTATTCTGGCACATGGTATGTGGATTCTGACACAGGGGAGAACTATGTGGGCTTTGTGTTTGGCTACCAAAACAACCGTAAATTCTACGTGGTAATGTGGAGACACGCAAACCTCAACTACATCTATAAAGGAGGAATCAAAGGCTTACAGCTTAAGGTGAGTGCTTGAAATAACAATTATACTTTTCTTTTATAAAATTAATAATGTTATCATTTAAAAATGTAACTTTTGATAGGGAAGGACATGATGCTAGCTTAAATAGCGTATTACATATATCATTAAAAACAGTTATGTTCTGTTTTGTGCATTATGGTTACAAATTCCAGTTAATATCAGTACATATATTTTTTTAATGATGAGCAGAGCTATTGAATTTTCAATCAAATAAATCTTTCAGCCATGTCCGTATCAATTTTTTTCCAGCTCGTCAACTCCAACACAGGCCCTGGCTCTGGCCTAGCCAAGGCATTGTGGAACACACATGATACCGCTGACAAGGTCACTCTGCTCTGGCAGGACCCTACCATGACTGGGTGGCAGCACAAAACGTCCTATAGGTGGCATCTCAAGCACAGACCCTCCATTGGACTGATCAGGTGTGTACATGTAGTCTGTCAGTCTCACTGTTTATCATGGCAACAATATAAATGGAAGAAATTCAATTGTTTCCTGGTTAAGAGGTGTATATATGTTTTGCATTTCAATATAACAGTAAATGAGACTGATGTTGATTACTGCACAGGGTCAATTTATTAAAACCTGCATTTTGGTTATTGCAGTGGTCCTTTACAATATAAGAAATTTCTGATGCTCCTGTACATTTTATTTGAAATTTTTATTGGTTGTTAAAGATATGACAAACAAATTACTTTTTTATGGAATTCAACACTAACAGACCCTTTATTTGCGAAATACTTTTTCCACGTAGGGTCACAGTGGTTCAAGGTACCAGTACTATTGTAGACAGTGGTGACCTCTATGATACTACAATCAGTGGTGGTCGCCTTGGAGTGTTCATGTTTAACCAGCCAGGTATTCTGTGGTCCTACCTAGAGTACAAATGTGCAGACCGAGTCAATGAGGCACTGTATTTTGATGGCACTGATGATTATGTGACCATGGCTAATATCACCACCTTAGAAATACATAACAGGTAAGGTTTATTATTTCTAATGTTTACTCTCTTGTCTGTGAAAAATATAAAAGTATGTTTCTTTTTCCAAGTGATCAGTATTTCTGGCATTAAACTTTTTAAGTCCCATTATTATAATCATGAGTTATAAGGGAGAATTAATCTTTTATAGTTGTTGGTGCCATTTAAGGAAGCCGTATTGGTAGCTCCTGTAACAGCTATAAATTTAAAAAAAAAAAAAAAAAACACTATTTTTCAGTTTCACCCTAGAGGCCTGGGTGCTCCTGTCTTCAGGCTACCCCAGTGGTAAGCTCCCTATCCTGTGTACACTGGACAGTATACTGTGTATGTATGTGGAAGGAGGGGTGTTGAAGGGCACTGTGGGTACCACCACTGCAGTGGGGAGCAATGTTCTACCTGATAGCTACTGGAACCATCTGCTCATGAGATATGATGCACAGTGTGAGTTGTCTCTTTTCTGTTCATTTTCAGCATTTGTGTATACCAGTGTGATTGTGAAAGACTTTCTCTTATTAAATCTGATATGCAATTAGAAACTGGCCATTGTTATTCAATTCCATGAAAAATCTTACTGGTAAAGAAGTAGTATGTAAGTACTTAATTATAATTTTTTGAATATTGATTTGTTTTATAAATAAATATATGGTCGGCATCCATATTTATATAATAATTCTCCTTTTTATTTTAGCATGGACACTATCTTTGTTCATCAATGGAACTACTTCTCCTAACCCTGAGGCAGAGGTGACAAACATTGAGCCAGTTACATGGGTGGGTACTTATATGTATCAATCAGGGGTGGATCCAGAGATATTTTCTGACAGTCTTCCAAATTGTCTTTGTTGATCCATCCTGCATTTTTGACCGTCTTCCGACATAAAAAATCAGATACCTGTCAATGTAAACTTGAAAATCTTCCGGAAGACCCAGAAGATGGCCTAAATCCGCCCCTGGCAATTACAGTACTATTTACGTAATACTTTTTCATGAACAGTCTGTTTAACTGTAACTGAAGTTTAAAATTCCTTTAAAATATCAAGACATTTTTATAGGCTTTGTAACATAATTTTATACAAGATGCTGCTTAGAATTAATGCTGAAAATGATAATGATTACATCATAAAGAGAGTTTGTTTTGGTACTTCAGGCTATCTACAACACTACAGGAGCTACTGATATCTACCTTGGAAGAGATAGGAATAGTTATTTTGCAGGCATTCTAGATGAGGTAATTATCTCCACCAAGCAGGTGACGTTTTCACCCCAGTTTGTCTGTTTATTTGTCACCAGCCTAACTAAAAAAACTTATACAACTATACTATATATATATTGGTGAATTTTTCAGGACAGGCCACCAGTGGTCTAATATAAGTGAATTGATTTTGGTGATGATCTATTAATTACTTATTAGTTTATTATGTCTTGATAGAGGCCTGCACTCTCTGAGTGCTTTTCTAGTTTTTGCTATTTAAGAATAACTGCTTACATAAAGTTAACACTAGACAGCTGTCTTTTGCGTAATTGTAAAGAAAGCTATGACTCATATTTTTCACTGTAGAGATAAGCAAATCATGAAATAAAAGGTGAGCAGTGAGTTCATAACCATCATACACAGCTAATGAATCAATTGGTGTTACAGATCCGTATCTATGACATCGTGATCCCAGACTCGGAGCTCGGTGCTCACCTCCAGGAGGCTGGTCTAGTCTGGCAGAGACACCAGGGCTACATCAACGTCCACTACACCATGGACAGTAACACTGACACCTCCATCTTACAGGACCATGGCCTGCTGGGGATAAATGGAGTGGTCAGTGGAAACCCCTTGTTTGTGGATGTAAGTGGATTATAGTAGGGATTTACGTTTATATATAATGGAGATAAAGTTATATGACATCAAAACTTGTTTTGGAATGTTACTCAAGCAATAACCTATTTAAAGGTACATACGAACCGAGCATCGGTGGAGCGTGGACTCCCAGTAACACATGTAAACCACTTCTACTAGATTCTTGTATGACTAAAATAAATTTGACATGCCAAGGGATAATCTGAATAGATCACTCGATCAGCCATTAAAGACCTTTAGACTGCTCCTTTCTTTAAATTTTTGATTGTAAATTTAACCTACTTTCGTGACATACTTTCCCGCCCCATTGACATACAGCTTAGAATGCCAGCAGAAAAATCCGTTCAAACATCATTTTTGGGTAAAATTAAACAATGCCTTTTGGTAATTCTCTTAGTTATACTACTTGAAACTATATGCTGGCATTAGGTTGGTTTTTGTGACAAAAAATTGACTTTGTATGCATCTTTAAGCACTTCCAAACTCTGCATCTATATATATATATATATATATATATATATATATATATATATATATATATATATATATATATATATATTTTATGATGTGCAAAAATTAACTCTCAGGGTTTTTGCCGGTATATCGCCTTCTCAAATGAATTTATCAAATTAGATTAAATGTTGTCTTTGCAGAGCATGCTCGATCACGGTCGCTTTCAGCTCACATATCCATCAAACAGAAGGCGAAGGCGGAGAAGTTTGGATGAAAATGGCCACCTTGAAAAAAGTCGCCATGAAGAACTTTGAAAATAGGAGACAATTTGAAGCTGTTTGGCTTTTTGTCATCAACACTGATCACCTCTGATTAAATATTTGTTATGGTTGTTTATATTTTCATATGTTGGTCTTACAAAAGCATTCTGATGGTCTTCATGCTGGCCATGGGTATAGCTTTATATTGCAGTAGCATTTGAATATGTTACAGCAGCCATTGTCTGGTGGCAGCTTGTCTGTTTAGCAGGACTGTGATACATTTTCTGCCATACAAAAAAAAAAAAACATATATATACATATATAGTGTCAGTAAGGAACAAGATTATTTTTTGGTGTGATCTTATGAAAAATCTCTGTTAGTGAATATTAAAGGTTTGTAAAAGCATTTAGTATATAGATAAACACAATGCAGAAATTCACCAAAAACTTTTGAAATGACCAGAACTTTATTTCTTTTTATGTTTTATGCTGGCTAATGTTCCAAGTGGCAAACAGTAATTTTTCTGTCCTTTCTCACACACACTGGGAGCTTGAAGAAACCAGTCATCCAGACGAAAATTGCCATCCAAAAAAAGAACAACTAGCTTAATATTTACAGATTGTATCCAGATTTTACTTTTATTATCTCCGTCCAAGTCTTATTTTATAGAAGAGTAACTGGTACAAGCATTTAAAACATTATAACTGAACTGATGCACTTCAATGGGCTGGTCTCCCTTTTTGATCTGAAATGTTTTTATTGTAGCATATACCATGTTTTGTATATATTTGCTTGATGCAAATGTCTGAATGATAAGAATGTTTTAATCAAATAAAATATACATTCAAAAATGACAGAAATTCTAGTTATTAAGTTTCAAATTTCGTTTCAAAGGTCTGATTATTTTCCAGTTAGAGAATGTACATGTCACAATGGAGATGCCAATTTAGGCATTAAACATTAATTTCTCTGAATCATCACTACCCTGGACATCCACTATGAAGCAGGTGAAGACAATGCAAGCTAAAGGTTGGGAGCAGTCCTCCACTTTCCAGAAGTAGGAGACGAAGTCCTAAACCCCCCTTCCATTCTTGCATGTCAAACACAAGACTAGGCAAAAGCATAAACTAGTGGTGTACACTTGACTTCTTATATAAATAAAATATTTAACATATCTATAAATCTATATATACATGTATCATTCACAAAGTAATCAAAGCATAAATAACACAGCCTCAACTTCTTTACAATCACAGTTAAGCTTCAGCATAAGTTATCATTGTAATAATACAAAGCAGATAATATGCACCTGCCAAATTGCTGTTCATCTATTGGAATTTTAATCTAAGAATTTAATACTCAAACGAAGATAATATAATTTTCAAGGCATTGTTCCCACTATCGCATTATAAAATTTGACAAAATAAAAATGAAAAAAAAAAAAAAAAAAAATACTCAATATTACACATAACAGCAGGTGCATAGCATTCCAATCATTAAACACATACATGTGGGTAGAGAGCACAATATTTTACAATTCTTTGTAGATCTCGTCTTTCTCAACCTACAAAATCTAACAAAAAAATTTTTACTTGGAGTCCCTGAATCAAGACCCTTGGACTTGACATTCTGCATTTTCCTCTTTACATAAATGGCAGTTGCTCTAGCAAATACTTAGCTGTCTGACTTGTTACATGACCAGCTCATTCATTGGCCATGGGTCATGGACACTCATTTCCCTGCTTCGTTGAAGATCACTGGTATCAATTGCAATGCTGGTTCCTTGTCCTGTTATATTGTAATTAAGGTCAGTATTATATGTATTTTTTTTCTTCTTATGTATATTTCTCTATTAAAATCATATTCCTCATATCTTTAATCTGCCTCCACAAAAAAGATTTCTGGTATGACAATTAAGCATTTTGATCATAGAATATAATCTTCCACATAAAAAAACTGAGACTGATGTACAGGGTAGACTGGTAAGTGGATGAAACCATGCCAATGTCTTTCTGTCCCTCTTCAAATAGCCTCTGACCTTTTCTTCTGTTGTTTTTCATCAATTTCTTTTTGTCTCTCTTCCTCCTCTAATACATGTTCATTTTTAACAAGAGAAATTATGTCTTTCATCTGTGCGGAATTTAACTTCACGTTTTCTTGCCCAATCAACTCAAGAACCTGAAATGATGAATGACAACTTAAAAAAAAGATAAAGTAGTAAAGCAATCAAGAAGTACAGAACTCCATCAAGGCAGCCCAGTAATCATTATCATTAATTGATTAAAGGATCACCAATAATTCTAAAATGAAATTTTCAAAATATATCCATATCTTTTGGAGTCGGGCTGTTGACTAACAAATCAGCAAACACAAAATCATAACTGGTGGATGTGTTTTTTAAGAGGTAAAAAGAAGAGACAGGCATGTCATCCACACATAAAAAAAAAAAGATTTCATCAGTAAAAATAATTAATATGAACTGAAAAAAGTGCTAGTGATCAAATAACTGCAAACTGCAGCATGAATATCTACCAATAACATTGATAAATTTGAGAAAATAAAAAAAGAGCTACTAAGACAATGTCCTAAAAAAAAATAAATAATAATAATGCCAAAGACGTCATATTTAGTTTTCAAAGATATCATGCAAGCACTGTACTTATAAACACATTAACTGTTAGTGAATCAATCTGTATCCCAAAAGCACAAACATACTATTAAAGCAATTACTTTGACAAAAGTTGTATAAAGAATCTCCAAGACTAACAATATTTCACAAATAAGTACTCATTCTCATATGATTAAAAAATTATTCACCTTCAGGACATGTTCCACTTCAATCCTGCCATCATTGTTTTCATCCAACTCATGTGCAATCTGCTCAATCTGTTGCATTTTAGTATCATCTGGAATTTTCTGCAGCCGCCTTATAGCCAGCATTAACTCATTTATGTCTATGATGTTTTCTCTGAAAAATACATTTTATAATCCCTGTATAATTGTTTACTGTTTAAAAAGCACAATGCATCCAACACTGCATCTCAAATAATGAGGGAAAAACAATCCCATGCTAACTTTTTTCACTTTATCTCTTTCAATAATTGTCTTAAGGGTCATTCATTTTTATCATCATTTTCACAAGAGTGTGTGTGTGTGTGTGTGTGTGTGTGTGGTGATGGGGGTTAATGATTACAATAATCCCTTTGAAAAATAATAAAAAAGGATGATTCGTATTGCAGCAAAAGGCCATTATTTTTAGCTTTTCACTTTGCTTGCTCTGAAGGGGAGGGGGGCTGGAGAAAGTCTAGGCTTTGTAGACTTTTGAAAATGAAAAAATAAATGGTTGACCCCTTACTTTTTCTCAGTAATAGATTCCTGCAGTGCCTCTCTCTTCTCCTCATCATGCTGTATCTCTTCACTCCTCTTCATTGTCACTTCTTTAACTTCCAGATCAATTAGCTGCTCCTGCTTCTCTTTGTGCAGTTTCTCTAGGATGTCGTCCATGCCAGTGATGATCTGGTCCACTTTCTTGCGAAGTCGCCTCGAAGACTTGGACTCAGAATAGTCTGTCTCCTGACCTCCAGTGGCAACAACAATGTCCCTTAAATCTTCTAAATCCTATTGATAAATGTATTACAAGTGTATATGAAATCACATATTATAGTCATCAAAATGTTAAGTTTTCTTCACAGCTTTTAGTATGAGGTTTTTAATGGCTGACAACACGTCTTGAAAACAACAAAATGTCCAGTTATAAGCTTGTTAGGTTTGCTGATTAATAAATTCACCAATCATTATATCCCTACAATATCTACACTACATGGCTTAGTTTAAAAAGTAAACTCTACATTTTCCATAACCTGTTGCCTTACAGTACCTCGGCATATTCTGAAACATCTTTTCGCAGAGTCTCCAGCTCTTCTTTTTCATAGGCAACGATCTTTTTCTTTTCCTCCACAATGTCTTCCAAGGCAGCCTCTAAGTGTTCTAAGTATTCTCCTGGAATTTCCTGTTCTTCTCTGTGTTTTGCCTTTTCTAGGTGAATGTCTGTCAATGAATAGAAAAGTGAATTGAAACTAATCCAAATATATTTGTCAATTAACAAATACATGAATGATTAACAGTTGAAAACAAGAAGCAAAAAAAAATGAATTTCATACTTTGTTACAATATCATGATGACCACAGCAGGACAAGAAATATCCTTGCAAGTCACAAAAAGTGTTACAGTACTAAACATTTGCCTACCTTCTTCAGCATGTGTTTCTCCTTCCATGGCTAGTTCCTGCATTTTCTGAACACTGTCAAGGTCCATTTCTAAAGGTTTGCTTGGCTCCTCTTTAACTGCAGTTTTTACAGCCTGAAAATTCAATGCAAAACCACTTTGTAAATACATAATAATAAAAACCTAAGACAACAAAATTGTGAAGAGTAAAATCAAGAAGCTTTCACTGGTTAAGTGATTGCTAAACCCTTATTCCAAACAATCAAAAAATGCCAAAATATAATCTAAAGCATGTATCCAAATTTTTGCAAAACAGTTACCAGTAACACATAAATGTTTCCCAACACATGCATATCAGTACACTGACCTCTTTTTCTGCTGCTAATCTTTCAGCTTCTTCTTTCTTGAGGGCCTCCTCTTCCTGCATGATCAACTCCAGTTTGGTTCTGTTATCCACCTGCTCCCCCTCCATCTCTGCCAACTTGATCTTGGCATCCTCAGCCTGGATACAGATTAATATTCAGTTTAATATTTTGTTATGTCATAAGAAGATAATTTCTTTTTAATGACTAAAATTATAATACTTTCAATTAAGTTTAATAAGTAATACCAATTTATCCGCATAATTTTAGAACCTGAACAATTTAAATGCCTCCAGGTTCCACATAATGTATGGCAGTTTTGTAGCAAGGACAACTGAAAATCCTACTGCCTTGTGGAACTTACAATGCTCTGTGGTAAACGTCCAATGGAGTCCTGAATGCCAGTCTCTGCCTTGTCTGATGGCAGATAGAGAGCTCTGGACAACAGCAACAGAGATGATGGGATTTCATCATGGAGGTGAAGGTCTAACCACTGCCGCAGCTGGGACTGCAGCCTTTTCTCAGATATACCTATAGCCTTCATTCCTCTGGAGCGGCAAGCTGACTGGAGTTCTGGCACTGTCAAACTATCAACACCTTCTTTTTCTATTAACTGTGGGTGACAAAAATATGCATACCTCATTTTATTTAATCATTACATAGTGATTCAACTGACCCTATGAAGGGTTATGACCTAACGTCTGTACAATGAAACTGTAAGAATGTTTAATTTTATTTTATCCGTTTATCTTCATCAAGTTGGTATTACTTTAAAATGACATTTTCCCTTGCAAAATGAAACATGCAGTTGAAGTACATAAACATTTACCTTATCATCTGCCTTGAGATAGCGAAGTCTCATACTCAGCTGAAACCTTAGGACATTGTTTGTCCCCACAGCAGGCAGTTCTAACAGTTTACATAAAGCAATTAGCTGCCCTCGTGGTAGATTATCTAGAGTAATCTCATCTTCAAACAGTTTGGAGAATGTCTTGATTTCTTCATTTGTTGCCATTTCTTCACTGTTTCTAATCTACAATTAAATAATGTACATTTGCTTAATTTGGCATATTTGAAACTCTCTAAGAATGTAATAACCTTGGTAGCATAAAACTTCTGTGGGGTGACTCTCCTCAAAAGATTCATATTCAAAATTTCCATGCATCTTCTTACTGTTTTTTGTGTGTGTGTGTGTGTGTGCACATGCCTGCATTTGTGGTAATTTTTAATACGAAACCATTACACTTAAAATATGAAATACAAAACCTTTTTAATAAACTGCTGGAATTTATGAAGGGTCTCTCCAGTTGATTTTTTCTTTGTAAGAGCAGTTTCTTCTATGGTATCTTGCAGAAACTTGGCCATCTCAAGTTTCACTTTTAACTTCTTCCTCATCTTCTCTTGCTGTAAAATAATTTTTAAAAATGAATAATATAACTAAAATAAAACACCAAAAAGAAATGAAAAAAAAGTACAGAAAATATTGTCACATACAAAATTCAGCCATGTCCACTATATAAACATAAATTTGTGCTGTCTTAAAAGAAATGATCTCACAAAAATGATCTAAGTATGAGTCTGATTCCTAATGCACCATCAAAATATCTATGAAGTTGTTGGTCCTTTATCAATGCAGAAATACACAGGGATGTACACACACCTTTTTGTCTTCCTCTTCAAATGTGCTTGGCAACATGTTGGGGAACAATTTGAGTGCCACTGGCAGAAAGAATTCCATAAAAGGTACAATGATGAAAACCAGAAATGGTACCATACGGAATAAATCTGAGGAGGTTCTGACAAGCTGGAACACAAAAAGAAAAACTAAGTGGAAAATTGCACTGCAGCACGCACCAGTAAGGAATACCAATAAATGTATCACTGAAATGAGCTTAAAATTCACTTTACTTACACAGAAATTAAACCATAATCAATGTTATAATAAGGCAGATATTTATTACATAACTTGTTATATCATTTTAATTTCATTAATAAATTGATTCATGTGACATTTCATTTAATCATTTTATCATACATTTCTGCATGATAAAATATTATTCTGATAATAAGCAAAGTGAGGCCATTGCTTTGTATGCTAGGCCAAACAAAACTACGTTTAAAAGAAACAAAAAAAGTTTTTGTTTTACATTCATGAATAGTTGGGAAAGCAACAGTTAAACACTTGCTATTTGCCAAAAGTCAAAAAAGTGTCAATACCTGTCTCCTCTCCCTCCTAGTCAAACTTTTCCCATTCATTATTCTCCAAACAAGTCTGGAACAAATCCTGACGTCATACATAAGTAGTTTGAATCCATGATAATAATGTTTGAGCACATCCACAAACCGTGTCCATAGCGACTTCTTAGGAACAGCAACACTGCTGCCTTGCTTTGTGGCAGGTTGTTTCTTTAGAGATTTAACAGTCTTCTCCACCTTTGATTCATCTTTATGGAGACAGACACTCCTATGAAATGGTCTATGAAAAGTCACAGAAGGGTTAGCTGATAATTCAAGCCTTCCAAACCTTGTCTGAAAATATGTCCTACTAGCATGTGTACTGTGAACACTGTAGTTTCTTGTGTGAGGTAGTGAAACTATATAGTTGAGATTGGCAGAAAGGATGTAGTGGCTTGGAAGAACCTGTGAGTATATGGCATTGCGAGCATATCTGGATTTCCAGTGGTGATGATGACTGTAAAAAAATATATGTAAATAATAATATGATTGATGAATCTTGCATATATGAATTAATGGAAAAATTAATGCAATGAAAAATGTAATAAATAAATACTAAGGATTAAGAAGAACTACTATATTCCAAGTAAAAATATTCTGAATTTAATTAATACTTACTGCAGTTGTCTGGCAAGGCTATGCATCCTCCTAGTTGCACTCATGATTGCAGCTACTATAATTCAAAATAAAATAAATTAACACAGATTAAGCATCTTTTGTTAAGAATTGTTCATCAAAATAAATTCTGGTATAGAGATCTAAACCACTGAAGGTATTTTATATGCAATGTCCATACAAATTTTTAATTTTCTTTGAGAAAAAAATTATCTTACTCTGAAATCATCGCTCAACCAATCCCTGCACTTGGATGTTTTGCTCTTTTTTCTAATTAAATAATAAATGATGATTCAGTTAGAGCTTTATATCTTCCTAACATTTAAGAAGGAATTCTCATTCCCAGACAATATATATATATATATATATATATATATATATATATATATATATATATATATATATATATATATATAAACAACATTGGCCCTTTTTTGAAGATCTTTTTAATATTATGTAACACTAAAATATATTACATTGTTAATGTCAATAATGGTTCGAACATGGATAACCATCTGATTTAACAAGCATTGGCACACCTAAGGGCATATAAATTTTCAATTTCTTTTTATATGCCATCACATGGCTGACATGTATCTTACTGTTTCTGACACCATTCAATATTTGCTTTACTCACAAATACATTATGCAATTTACTGTAATTGAAAGTGCATTTGAAGTTGACAGTTTTTGGCTTCAAAACCACCGAATCCTATTCACTTCAGTTTTACCTGTCCTCTACTTTGTATTTATTTCCACTGTGCAGTGCAAAGAGTAAATTTAGAATGACAGCACGAAGAGGTTAAATAAGGTCGTGATACATCAGTGTACTCACAGAGGTAAAACGCCGACAGTGACCTTAAAGCAATCGTTTGGTTAAGATCAAAATGCATGAGCACTATAAACGGGTGTGGTACAAGGCTCAATAAAAACATGAACAATAATTAACCACTTACCATTTAGCTCCTAGTTTGGAATAGAATACACTGAATAAATTCACATCCAATATCGGATGCATTCAAAGGTGGAAGTGGCGCGTCTTGGCCATTTAATCTTAGAATGCTGGGATTTGAAAAGGTTGGAAGTAATGTCAAAATTTAAAGAAAATACTGCAAAAAAAACTATAAACTTTTCATGTGATCAAATATGCGTACCTTTTATACTGTAGGTTTTTCTGTTATTTATATATTTTGCTTTAGCTGTCTTAACTTTGCACGAGAATGAGCGAGATGTGACATGGCGGGTTACTCAAATAAGGAAACAGAAGAGGGTGTGGGTTTATTATCTGGGGGAGATCGAAAGAACGATACCTTAGTTTTTGTCGTACCACATAAGATTGGTAAAGTTCGATATGACATTTTGAAAAGTGCAAGTGAGAAAAATAAAATTTGTACGACAAAAACGTTTAGGTAAGCGCACTCTCTGCTAAACTGCATCGCCATCGTCTCTCACTGCTTTCATTGTCATAGCACGAAAATTCATGCGTTAGCACTCCTATTGACGATTCTGTATGAGCACAGACAGTACGTATCAGAATCGTCAATAGGAGTGCTAACGCATGAATTTTCTTGCTATCATTGTCAGTGCCAACTCACCAAGTGTTATGCGTTAGCCCCCCCCCCCCCCCCCCTTTGACGGTCTTTCATATGTACCATCTGTCGCACACTGCTGCATTGCAACCATTGGCCTGCAAACCATCATGTTAAGACGGGGGAAGAGAAGGACTGCAACCGAACCCATTGTGATGTTATTGATAAATAGCAGAGCAGAAAATGATCAAAACGCAATCTAATTTTTGCAGATAGAATACATTCACGCCTCCCGTTTTCATGCTTTCAGCTCCCATGTTACACATGTTGTGACAGAATGTTCTTCAAAGGCTCAGTTATTTAGGCTAATGAAGTGGACGGAAGGAAGTCCTTTGTACAGGAGTGCCAGATATTTGAAGTTGTCTTGGCTCACAGACAGCATCAAAAACAAGAGCCCAGTGGAAATAGTGAATTGTCACTTGCTCTCTGATGATGAATTGGTAAAAAGCTTACAATGTTGATGGCATCAGTATGCACAGAACTCTCAGATTTTTCTTTGTTCAGTGTAAATGTAGAATCAATAAACTTCATATGCATATAATGGGTTCAGGTAGTGAATTGACCATTTCCCAGTTTCCTTGATCAGATATATTAGATTTGTATTTTAAGACTTTGCGTCAAAAATTTTTATTGTAGGAAGGAATATATATCATGCTCTGTGTCTGACTTACAAGTTAATATTTACACATATTTGTGTTTTACAAATACGCATGCACACACACACTAGTCTCCATATTTCCACAGGCAGAAAAGTTTTGGATTTATTATCATGTCTAGTTCTTGATTTCTAGGAATCAAAATGCCAAGAATTACATGCTGCTAAAGAGGAGAGCAAATTAGTGTCCAAATATGAGTGCCAGCGGTCTACTCCTCTTCATCACCAAAATGAAAACTTAACTGTAAGTTTCGGGTAAAGATTTTTCACAAAAAAATTATCAGTTTAATTGAAAAATTGATGTTTTCAAAATAAAAGGATTTCATAACTCGATATGTCTGTATATGTAATGCTTGTAGAATATAGTGTTAAACAAAATAGGTTTACAACTGAATATTTCAAACAAACATTTTACATGGTTTACAAGATTTCACATCCATATTACAAAACTTTTCTAAATAAATTTCCTTTATTAGAATTTGTCTTTATACTTTCTAGGATGCATTAAGTGCTGTTGAAGAAGAGGCAGAAATACTAGACAGAAAGGAAGACTATTCCAGAGCTTTAGCATTTTGTAAAGCAGCATGTTCACTGAAATGCCTGACAAAGCCAGTCAGTAGCATACAGGACATAAAAGGTCTTCCAAATATAGGAGATCACAGTAGAGATATCATAAAAGTAAGTTATGGGAACAGATCTTAGATTAATACTTGTTTATAAAAGATTGTTGAATGCTCTGTATTGAAGTTATGAATTTATGATGTTTCTATAATACTTTCTGAATTGTATTTTCATATGTTTTTCCATAATACAAATCATTTTGAGCTAGTTACATGGTATTATATATTATAGCAGCCTTGTAAAAGACTAAATAAGAAAAAATTGCAAGTTTTTTAGTATATATTTCATCAGCAAATTAAGAATATTTTGTAGTTGGTTTCTCTTAAATGTTTTTTTTTTCTTTTTCAGGAAATATTGGAAAATGGCTTCAGCAGAGAAGTTGAAAGAATAAAGAATGACCATTCACTTCAGAAAAAGAAGGTATAATTAGTAAATACAGAATCACACAGCAAAGTTTACATTTGTGATTCAGTATTTGTTCTGTTCTTCATTTATATAGTCTGTATAAGTGTTCAGTTTATATATATATATATTTATACGTGTTTCAAGTGCAGAATGTGTTGGGTATTTTTGTCACTCAGACATTATATCTAGCTCTGAGAAAAGTGTAGATGCTGCATAATACCTTTGTCTGTAGATGTTTATGAGTATATATGGTGTTGGCCCATCAACAGCAAGGAAGTGGGTTGATGTCCTACAGCTTGCCACAATAGAAGATGTCATAAACTGTCCTAGCATCAATCCTAGAAAAGAAGCCAGACTTGCGTATGGTAAACATTTTTTTTTGTTGGAACCACTACATTAAAAACTTTTTTCTACAGATTGGTAACAATTTATGTTTTTTTATATTGATACTTGTCTAATGAGGAGTAGAAAATAAGTTAATACGCCACCTTCATATTTTTTATTAACTCTATAACAAAATAGTTGTAAGAAAAAAAAGCATATTAATATTTTATATCATGTGACATAGTTTTCAATTTTGAGATAGAAGATGTCTTAAACATTACTTTATAACTGAATATTAAATATATTTAGGAATCGCTTTCCATGAGGATCTTAAACAACAAGTCGGCAGAACCACGGCAATGAGAATAAGAGATATTGTCCACAATGAATTAAAGACTTTAGATGGTGAAGTTACAGTGGAAGTTACTGGAGGATTTAGAAGGTATCGCTGAAAATCCTTTAATAAAGAACTAACTCTAAATGAATTAAAGCTATGTCGGTATGAACTTACATTGTATTATGTTTTTGGAACTTCAACGGATAAACTTTTTGTGATCTCAATCTGTTGATAAATGTTGCATTCATGTTGTATATCCAGAGGGAAGCAGTTTGGTCATGATGTGGATCTGTTGATATCTCACCCAGTAGAAGGAAGGGAGACTGGACTATTACAGAAACTAATTCACAGATTGAACAGTAAAGGATTGATATTACATGGTGTCATGGAGGAAAGCACCTTCTCAGAGGAGATGCTGAGTAAAAGCTCAAAACTTACTCCAAAAGGACAATTAGACCATTTTGAAAAGTGGATTGGAATTATGAAATTTCCAAAAAACCTTGAAACAACCCCTCAGGACAGTGTTAGGGACAGAAAAGAAACAATCAAGGATGAATTCAAGGAAGAAGGAAAGAAAAGAATAAAGTTAGATCACAGTTTGACTGTAACTGATCATAATCATATAGGTTCGGGACTCCAGGAACAGATAAATAAAAGTTTTCAGAAATCCTCGACCTCATATTCTCCCAGTCCTGCTTCATTACCATCATCAAGTGACTTATCTGAGCTAGTAAAACTGGCCCAATCCGAGCGTGAGTGGAGAGCAAGCCGCGTGGACCTTATCATAGCTCCAGCTAGTCAGTATGCCTATGCCTTGGTTGGTTGGACAGGCAGCAAGATGTTCAACAGATCTCTAAGGCTGTATGCACAGAGAGAGCTGGATATGAAGCTCACCAGCCATGGACTGTTTGATATGAAGCAGGTATAGTATGTATTTGTAAATGAATATGCATTGAGGTATTTAATATACACTAGTTACTTAATTTATGGCTCTCTATAAACCTTTTAGCATATTTGTTCACTCTTAACTGTGAAAGTATTTATACCATTCCGTGGCAGGTTTTGCTTGATAAAAATTGAAATATTTATGTTCAAGTAATGTTTATTTATTTATTTATTTTAAAATTAATTCTAATCATGATGCCTACTTACATGTAGTTCAAATTCATAGACTTATATTAAGAAACAATAGTGCTGTTGTAATTACTTATGTGTATCACATACTGGGAAAGCATGTTGTCTGTTTCCTTTGTGGCTTCTAAGCTTGTTTCCTCCATGGTTCTGATAGCAGTTTATAGTAACCTCAAGCTGTTCTGATGTCTGTTCACACAAGAAATACTGTAGACTGTAAAGCTGGCTGACTTGATGAAACAAAATATCTCGGCTAATCTTCTCATGATCTGTACCATGATTTAAAATTACTTTGTGCTTAAGAAGATATTCTTTCAGTATCAGTTCTTTTGTTTTTTCTTTTTATTTGAGAAAGCATGTAAGATCTTAAAATCACAATTCTGGGTTGAGAAATAGGCTGCATTTCAAAGCCCCTAGAGTGATGTTTCAGCTTTCTCTAGATAATTATGTTTCATAGTTTACAAGGACAAAATGTATATTTAAGAACCAGTTTATCTGAATACCAATCAGTAGTTGACTCCTTCTGGACAGACCTGTAGACACATAAACCACATATCTCTGACCACCTTGGTAGAAGATCATTTACTGATAAAATTCTATCCTTTGCATAGGCCTTGATGTAATCTTTTTTATGCACTTGCCCTGTCAGGCAAATAAACCTGAAAATTTAGTTGCCCCACTCCAAGATAAAAAAATGGAGGGGAGATCATATCACTCTCGGTGCACTGCACATACATTTTGGATTCATTTGAATTGCACACATTATAGCATAGATAATTCACTTGTGGCGCAATAATTTCTTCTAGGTCATACATTTAAGTTATAACTCCTTATTTTTTTTCAAATTCAGTAATCTTTCCAATAATAAAAAAAGTGATTGAAAGATTTTGCCTTTGTTCTTTCAAGTGATATTATGAAAAGATACAAATGTTTAAAACTACAATATTCAAGGAAGGTCAGGTCAACTCTTCACTTCCCCACATTTTTTGCTAGCCCACTGTCGATACTGGCCCGCATCATTATTTCACCACTTTGTTAATCCCCTATGGTGAAATTATGATATTACCTGCATTTCCCCCCTCAACATCATTTACCCGCATCATTACTGCTCTGTACCATAACATTTGCTGATATCATACTCACTGGTTCTAATAAAAGCATTTCCTCAAACTTACATGGCATTAACTTTTGAAAAAATGACAATGAAATGTTGTTTATTCAACACATTTCTACTTTATAATATTTTTTCATCATGTACAACAACAAGCGTATGTTGTTTAGAGACTTCTGATTATCAGCTTTTTCACAACTATGATGACTACAAGGTAAACATCTCATAAAATAGATGGAGACTGCTAGCAAATATGACATTAAGCCTTCAAAATTTCCAACATTGCCCAGTTTAAATTCTGCACTTGCATAATGACAACTGACTTGCATTACTGACCCTGTCTCCATGGTAACCTGAAGTCTGTTAGTTTAATTTTCAAATGATGCACACTTTTGTGATTTTAAGAAGTATTTTATTTATACAATTCAGTTATTTTAGAACATATGGATTAATATTCAGTAATAAGATTTTTTCCACTATCGTCAGAATTCCGAGAGGTTATTTTTGAGATTGATGTAGAGGTTCCCCTGGATCATATGCCATATTTTCAGACTTTTTCACTAAATGGCAGTCTCATCCGTTAATATTGAAAGTGCATCAATGTAATGAAATTGTATAGCGTACACACACATATGCTTGCATATAACTTTTCTTGCAGAGAAAGCCCATTCAAGCCAGCAGTGAGCAGGAGGTCTTTGAGATTTTAAAACTGCAGTACAGAGATCCAGAAGAGCGTAACTGTTGAGAGATGTTGATATGATGAAAAATTGTCAGTATCAACAACATTATTGTGATTGACTTGATTAAACTGTGATGCAAGAAAAGAATATTTATTATTATTAGATTCTTTAGATTTAGAACTATCCCATTTAATTTTTAAATGAGTTTGATGTACATATATATTGTAACAATGTTATAAAGAAAATTTTGTGATAAACTCTGCTTTATCAGATAGAATAGAGGAAATGAAATATGAAATAACTTCTTGGTCATTAAAATAAAATAAAAGGTATCACATTCAAATATCAACATGAGCAGTTATTTTTGTCACAATTTAGTATCACAAATTTAGTGATTTCTGCATTGACAAGTTTTTCAGCATCTTTAACCCCATTTCAGCCAAATTGCATTTCTGTTTAAGTTAAATTTATTTTCACAGTTAAGTACTTTAATGGTTTATAGATTAGCTAAAAGGCTACACTGAATTTATATATATATATATATATATATATATATATATATATATATATATATATAAATGCATTACTGGAAATGCAGCTTTTTCCCTCTAACTTGTGATATATGATGTATATAAATCTGTGATAAGGGACAGCTTTGAAGTAGCCATTTATTTTAATGCCCTTGTGAACAGGTTAACCCTATATAGCGTGCGCGCGCATGTGTGTGTGTGCACATATGTTAATTTTGAACAAAAAATTATTATTGATTTAAGAGAATGTTTTACAGATTTTATTCACAAATGTTTTAAATGGTGAGGTGCTATACTTGTATTATATGATTATATAGGTATCAGGGGTGCTCTTAATTTAAACCAAATTTATATTCTAGTTATTAATATTATTCATTATCCTTTTCAATTTTTTTTTCAACAAAACTTGTTTTATATCTGTATTAGTAAACAAATAATCACATTTTTCCTTTCTTTTTCTTTTTTTAATCAGGCAGTTACCTACATACTAAATTAAAAGTGTTTTTTAGGCTGTTGCAGTTTCCTCTTGTAGGTTTTTTTGTGACTCTTTTTGGTTGGTTCAGCTGTTACTTAGTAAAACTAGATGGGTTCATGTCAGGGCGTATGTGAGTACTAGTTACTGTGAATAAGAACATTTTNCTGAAAATCACAATTCTGGGTTGAGAAATAGGCTGCATTTCAAAGCCCCTAGAGTGATGTTTCAGCTTTCTCTAGATAATTATGTTTCATAGTTTACAAGGACAAAATGTATATTTAAGAACCAGTTTAAGTTTATCTGAATACCAATCAGTAGTTGACTCCTGGACAGACCTGTAGACACATAAACCACATATCTCTGACCACCTTGGTACCAGATCATTTACTGATAAAATTCTATCCTTTGCATAGGCCTTGATGTAATCTTTTTTTATGCACTTGCCCTGTCAGGCAAATAAACCTGAAAATTTAGTTGCCCCACTCCAAGATAAAAAAAATGGAGGGGAGATCATATCGCTCTCATTGCACTGCACATGTATACATTTTGGATTCATTTGAATTGCACACATTATAGCATAGATAATTCACTTGTGGCGCAATAATTTCTTCTAGGTCATACATATAAGTTATAATTTTTTTTTTTTCAAATTCAGTAATCTTTCCAATAATAAAAAAAATGATTGAAAGATTTTGCCTTTGTTCTTTCAAGTGATATTATAAAAAGATACAAATGTTTAAAACTACAATATTCAAGGAAAGTCGGGTCACCTCACCCTGAGCTTCAGAGATAACTTGACACTAACCTCTTCACTATTAGCCTATCTTCATCGTGTCAAGTTACCTCTGACCACATTCGATTGCCTCCGCCGCCCGCCAATCAAATTTAAAGCCCGCACTCAATGACTCATTGAACGATCTAGCCAATGAACGCGAACGAGTCAAAGCGCGCTTTGTTCAAATCCGGACCAATCAAAGATAAGGCTGAATATCAGGGACTTGCCGTAACCTGTGGGCAGCACGCAAAATACATCATCCCTCAGTAGATAATTATGCAGGGCATCAAACTGCTCTGGTTTCAATTCCGATATACTCCATGCTTTCTTTGTGTACGGTTATGCACTCAGAACTACTCGGATGTCTCCGCACTCGACAATAACTATGTTGTTAGTATGGAGCTTGCGGAATCAGCCGAGGATTGCCGATTGACGGTCAACCAATCAGCGTTTTCACCAAACTTTGGTGAAAAATTTTGAAACATGGATTCGATTGGCTTATATAAACTAGGTCAAACTATTTTCGTCAGAGGTAACCTGACACGATGAAGATAGGCTATAGTGAAGAGGTTAGTGTCAAGTTATCTCTGAAGCTCAGGGTGGGTCACCTCTTCATTTCCCCACATTTTTGCTAGCCCACTGTCGATACTGGCCCACATCATTATTTCACCACTTTGTTAATCCCCTATGGTGAAATTATGATATTACCTGCATTTCCCCCCTCAACATCATTTACCTGCATCATTACTGCTCTGTACCATAACATTTGCTGATATCATACTCACTGGTTCTAATAAAAGCATTTCCTCAAACTTACATGGCATTAACTTTTGAAAAAATGACAATGAAATGTTGTTTATTCAACACATTTCTACTTTATAATATTTTTTATCATGTAAAACAACAAGTCTATGTTGTTTAGAGACTTTTGATTATCAGCTTTTTCACAACTATGTTGACTACAAGGTAGACAGCTCATAAAATAGACTGTTAGCAAATATGACATTAAGCCTTCAAAATTTCCAACATTTCCCAGTTAAAATTCTGCACTTGCATAATCACAACTGACTTGCATTACTGACCATGTCTCCATGGTAACCTGAAGTCTGTTAGTTTAATTTTCAAATGATGCACACTTTTGTGATTTTAAGAAGTATTTTATTTATACCATTCAGTTATTTTAGAACATATGGGGTAATATTCAGTAATAAGATTCTTTCCACTATCGTCAGATTTCCGAGATGTATTTTTGAGATTGATGTAGAGGGCCCCCTGGATCGTATGCCATATTTTCAGGCTTTTTCACTAAATGGCAGTCTCATCCGTTAATATTGAAAGTGCATCAGTGTATTGAAATTGTTTAGTGTACACACACATATGCTTGCATATTACTTTCCTTGCAGAGAAAGCCCATTCAAGCCAGCAGTGAGCAGGAAGTCTTTGAGATTTTAAAACTGCAATACAGAAATCCAGAAGAGCGTAACTGTTGAGAGATGTTGAAATGATGAAAAATTGTCGGTATCAACGTTATTGTGACTGACTTGATTAAACTGTGATTCAAGAAAAGAATATTTATTATTATTAGATTCTTTACATTTAGAACTATCCCATTTATATGAGTTAGTGTACATATATTGTAACAATGTTATAAATAAAATTTTGTGATAAACTCTGCTTTAACACATAGAATAGAGGAAATGAAATATGAAATAACTTCTTGGTCATTAAAATAAAATAAAAGGTATCACATTCAAATATCAGCATGAGCAGTTATTTTTGTCACAATTTAGTATCACAAATTTAGTGATTTCTGCAATGACAAGTTTTTCGGCATCTTTAACCCCATTTCAGCCAAATTGCATTTCTGTTTAAGTTAAATTTATTTTCACGGTTAAGTACTTTAATGGTTTATAGATTAGCTAAAAGGCTACACTGAATTTATATATATATATATATATATAAATGCATTACTGGAAATGCAGCTTTTTCCCTCTAACTTGTGATATATGATGTATATAAATCTGTGATAAGGGACAGCTTTGAAGTAGCCATTTATTTTAATGCCCTTGTGAACAGGTTAACCCTATATAGCGTGCGCGCGCATGTGTGTGTGTGCACATATGTTTATTTTTAACAAAAAATTATTATTGATTTAAGAGAATGTTTTACAGATTTTATTCACAAATGTTTTAAATGGCAGTTTTAAATGATGAGGTGCTATACTTGTATTATACGATTATATAGGTATCAGGGGTGCTCTTAATTTAAACCAAATTTATATTCTAGTTATTAATATTATTCATTATCCTTTTCAATTTTTTTTTCAACAAAACTTGTTTTATATCTGTATTAGTAAACAAATAATCACATTTTTCCTTTCTTTTTCTTTTTTTAATCAGGCAATTACCTACATACTAAATTAAAAGTGTTTTTTAGGCTGTTGCAGTTTCCTCTTGTAGGTTTTTTTGTGACTTTTTTTGGTTGGTTCAGCTGTTACTTAGTAAAACTAGATGGGTTCATGTCAGTGCGTATGTGAGTACTAGTTACTGTGAATAAGAACATTTATAGTCTTAGTACATAGCATTTGATACAATACATGTCTATGATAAAAAGTTGCAAGACTTTTATTTGGTTTTCCATCTGATCCCTAATTTTCATCTTCATTTTTTGTTTCCTTTGCCTATGTCGTTGAAATGGGGATGGTTATTTTGATTAATTTTGACAAACATTGTCATTTTTAGCATGTTGCCCTTTTATGTGTGATATTTATCAGTTGTTGAATAAATGTTTTGTGTCTTTTTTATTTCGTCATTTTATTATTTTCTCTTTGCAATATTCCAAGGTCTTTGATATATTTTGATAGTAACACAATGTTTATTGAATTTTTTCCAATAAAAAAATGTAAAACAGCAAAAAAAAAATTAGGATTGTCAACAAAGCACTACTCTAAGTACTTTTAGTTAAAACTGACTTTCAAGCTCTGAAAAAAATGCAGAATTCAATTTCCAAGTAGATCTCCATAAGGAGTGCCTATCAGCTTACAAGCAGCCCAAAGCTTAATTATGTAATGTTGCTATTAAAAACCTATCATGTAAAGATCTGCCTCAGACATCCTACCTCATGCAGACGGGGAGGAAGCCTGCTACCTGAGCAGTGTTTTAAGTGTTGGGGAGAAAGGGGTAGCAGAGTGCACTTCAATCATTTCATAATCAGGCAAAGATGGTTATGATGTGGAGGTCAGACAGATCCCCTTTCCTGTCACTTAAGAATGTCTAGCACCCCAAGGCTTCTCTCCTGGGATGCAGCACGGTGATGCAGTAGTGTAAAAGTATTACATTTATAAGAATTATTAACAAACAGCAGCACTAAGTCGATGTCTTTATTTAGCTGCAGGTCTGTAATAGATATTACGCCTCCTGGAGTGTCTTGATTAATGTCCCCCAGGTGCTTTGTTCTTTAGCTGATTGACCTCTGGTCACCTCTGTTGTTTTCTTCACATCTCAGACACCACATGCAATCCCCAAAAATTATGTGTTCACCTGAAGTGTGAAGTGAATGGAAAAAAGCCCTGACAGCTGACTCAGCAGTTAGAAGTCAACTGTTGCAATTCATTCTCACCAATGGGTACAAATACCACAGCAGTAAGCAGACTGAGGACAGACATCAATGAGAAGGAGAGACAGAAACCAGACAAACTACACTGCAATGGTGTACCTGAGTTTTCTGATAAAATTGTTCACTGGGATAGTTTTGGTAACAGATGCGACTTCAGAAGAAAAGAGCAAAAGTGGTGCAAACAAAACTTGTGGTTTTACCCAGGATGATTTCCAAAAGGCTTCTTTTCCTGCAGACCCAGATGTACAAAACAGGGAAAATGTTGGATTCTTTGAGACACGTTCTGAAAGCGGTTTAGTTGAAAGTTTTGGTAATCCAGAAGAAACCATTCACGGAGATGACAATGAACAAAACAGTGATTATTTCACCAAAACATCAAATGCCAGTGTTGACAATTATTATGTATTCCATGAAGGACAAATAGATTGTGCAGTCGCATGCCCGAAGGGTTATTTCATAGGTGACATTACATATGGCTTTCAAAATCAAACCCAAGATGATCTTCATGCCCATTTTGTCAATCTCCAGGACCACCTCACTTGTCTGTACAGTGGACTCTGTGCTGAAACACCTTGCAGTGCACTGACACACTGTCTCTCCTACCAGGCCTGCGTCTTCAAGCTCAGCAATGAACTGTGTAAAAATGATACAATGCCAGGGACGAGAAAAGTTCTTCACATGGTTGTGACATGCTCCAGGAATGACCACCTTCTGGACATGGTAGGAGATGTAAAGTTGAGTGCATTGCAGAGATTATATTTGCTACAGAAGCAGACTTTTGTGTCATATATTCAAGCCAAAGCTTTGCAGTACAATGATGAACATGTGGAGAAGGTGAAAGTTGATTACAGCTGGGCAGTGGTCAAGACATTTGAGGTTCCTGAAATTGATGCGTTTGATGGTAACTGCCCTATAGGAGAGGAAAAAGATGGGTAGGTTGTTAAGTTATTATAGAATGTATTTTGCTTCATTCCAAAACCTAACAACATTTCTTACCATTGTTTGCAGTTTTTTTTTTTTTTTTTTTTGTTATTGCATAGTAACTCTTAAAGCATTGTAAATAACTTTCTTTAATATATTAATTTCAGTCATTTTCAATATTTTATAAACTTCTGTCAGACTTGTTTAAAATTCCCTTGTTTTATGTGTCTAGTTGGTCTTTTTGTTAAATTCTTCATCAGATTAATCCTAAACAAGAAAATTTTAATACTAATATTTTAGTGTACAGAAAAGAAAGACTGATAATGATGAACTTGAATTAAACAGAATGGTAGCTTCAGCACATCTGTTTTAGATCATATAAATTTCTGTCAGATTAGACGCACTTGCTGGGATTCTCACCCCTGCCCTACAACTGCCACTCAAATCTTGCAAATGTCTAAAAAGGAAGTTTTTTTTTTTTTTTGCAAGTCACTTTGTGAAATTTGGCTAAGTGCAAGTTAACTTGATATCATTGAATTATTTTGCACAGTTCAACTGTCTTTATACTGGTCTGTGGCTTTCCTGTGGTGTTCCTTTTAGGTTTGTAGGAGAATGCAACCAAGCTCCCCCTGAAGGTGCTGTGGCAGGAAGAGAACTGTGGACAAAGTTAGCCAGGTAGATGCATCGACTGCTTTCATTATGAGTCAGATACTTGAATATATTTTATTGAATAAATGAAACCCCAAGCACTTTGTAACCACTGCTATCTGATAAATATTTTATGTGGGATGAAACAACACTGAAAGAATGATCCTAATAATTTTGAAAGTATAATGGACCATGTGATGAAAATTCACCAGTTTTTTTTTTTTTTTTTTTTTTTTTTATTTTTCCCAAATGGGCAGACATCTTTTA